ATTTAATGCCATTTGACAATAATGCAGATTTTTTAAATCAGTTTAAGTTTCAGGCTGACCAATCAAGGGCCTCATTTATCAAGCTTGCTTAGGCACAAAACGGGGTCGGAAAACTGCGTAAGCAACTTTCCACACAAACTTTGGGATTTATGAAACAAAACTTAGTGGAAAAATGTTGTCGTCGTAGTCTTCCTCCGCTTATCAGAGTCTGGGATGCGCAGGGGCAGCATCCCAACTAGGGAGCTCCAGACCGCCCTCTCCCCAGCCACCTCCACCAGCTTCTCCGTCAGGACCCCAAGGCGTTCCCGGACCAGATTGGATATGTAACCTCTCCAACGTGTCCTGGGTCGACCCGGGCGCCTCCTGCCGGCAAGACATGCCTGAAACACCTTCCCAGGGAGGCGTCCTGACCAGATGCCCAAACCACCTCAACTGACTCCTTTCGATCCGGAGGAGCAGCGGTTCTGCTCCGAGTCCCTCCCGAATGTCCGAGCTCCTCACCCTATCTCTAAGGCTGAGCCCAGCCACTCTACGAAGGAAACTCATTTCAGCCGCTTGTATCCGCGATCTCGTTCTTTCGGCCATTACCCAAAGCTCATGACCATAGGTGAGGATTGGGACGTAGATCGACCGGTAAATCGAGAGCCTGGCTTTCTGGCTCAGCTCCCTCTTCCCCACGACAGACTGGCTCAGCATCCGCATCACTGCAGATGCCGAACCAATCCGCCTGTCGATCTCCCGATCCCTCCTACCCTCACTTGTGAACAAGATCCCGAGATACTTAAACTCCTCCACTTGAGGTAGGACCTGTCTCCCGACCCGGAGTTGGCAAGCCACCCTTTTCCGGTCGAGAACCATGGTCTCAGATTAGGAGGTGCTGATCCTCATCCCAGCTTCTTCACACTCAGCCGTGAACCTACCCAGCAAGAGCTGAAGGTCAGAGGTGCGGAAAAATGTGCGCAACTTTAAGTTGACTAAGGATCTGGCTTATGCACATTTTGGACATGGAGAGCACCTGCAGTGCTGCTGCTGAGAAGATAAAATGATGAAATCCCGCAGCATTATCACTTGTACTGCTTCGTGCGCACACAGAACAAGACATTCCACACACACACACAGCCTGAAGTGCAGAATACGGAATGCAGGATATCAGCAGGGGGACAGATTGAGACAGAATATCATGCGTCTGTGACAGTGTGTGTGTCCTGTCACTGTGGCCCAATTGATCATGCGCCCTGGCTACCTGGACAAGGGAGATCTCCGTTTGGCTGACTGGGTAGCGCACATGACTTTCACCTGGGAGTCTGGGGATCGAATCCTGATTGGATCATTTTTTTTTATATCTGCCACAGATCTTTCTGAAGAACTCAGCATTGATGGCTTCAGCAGCGCTGTACCACTCTGTGGATTTTCTCTTATTTGTTTTGCAAAAGCACTTCCTTTCATTTTTCCATCTCACCCACAAGTACCTGAATTTCTGCTTGTGAAATAGTGCTTCCTTGATCTGCGTTCGTGATCGAAATGCTGCAACAGCCAGCTTAGGTATATGCATGAGGTCCACAAGGCACTTTGCATTGACTATTTATGGCAGTAAGTGGGCGTGGTGAGGGCGGGATGTGACTAAAAAGCAGCTGAGAACCTTTCTAGATAGTTTTCGATTTATGAAGCGGAGATTGCGTGCAGCTATGTGTACACCATGTTTGATAGATCACAAGCCTACTTGGCGTAAGTACTTTTTTTGCTGAGCTTAAGTACGGTTTTAGTAAGGATTCTATGCAATGTTTGATAAATGAGACTCCTGGTCATTCCAGTCATTCTGCTGCCACATAGCAGTCAGAGTTTGAATTGCATCAAACAAAAGGAATACAGTAAAAGTTTGCATGTAAAAAAAATCTATACTCTGCTTTTAAATATCGATTCAGTATCATAAGTTATACTTGACTGACTCGCAACACATTCTCACTCCCAGCGCGTCAAAAATAAACGCTTGGTCAGCCACCCTCCACGTCAGACCCCTGACGCCAAAAGTGCCCTTTTTCGTTACTTATGTGCGAAAAGGGGTTTTTCCCTTTTGTGACTGCAGATCCCAATGCAGCGTAAAACTGACGTGATTAGATATCTGCTGATGCGGCACAGAACCAGCTCGTTTAACCGCACCTAAACCTTAACGTTTCACTATTTATAACCTTCCCCTCTCCCTCATCCTAACCTTAACCCTCTTGCTACCTAAAACGTTACTCTCACTGTGATCAAGCGTTTGTTTCCCATGCATTCTGACTCCGACAGTCAGAGTCTGACTGAATGTTCGTATTTGCCGCCCAAGGGGAACGTTAGAACATACCATCTGGCGAGGGGGAGGTTACAAATACCCTCTACTTTTAACCTCCACCGTCGTAGTTGAAACCTCCCCCTCGCGTTGGTTTGGTCCAAACTCGACCAACGACGAGGCGGCTCCCACCATTCACTTCATAGAGCCGGCTTTTAGAGCGATCGACACATCACTAACGTGTTCGCTAGCAAGATGGTTAAGGTTAGGATAGGGGTGAGGGGAAGGGTAAATAAGAGGATAAGGTTAAGGTGAGGTACAATGAGCTTGTTTGGTGCCCTGGCTGAGGACATCCCATCGCGTCAGTGTAACGCTGCATTGGGATCTGCAGTCAAATAAGGTAAAAACCCCTTTTCGCACATAAGTAACGAAAAAGGGCACTTTTGGCATCAGGGGTCCGAGGCGGAGGGTGGCTGACCAAGCATTTGTTTTTGACGCGCTGGGAGTGAGAATGTGTTGCTGAGTCATATGAACAGACAGTATGAAAGCAGAGAATAGTTACAGGAGAATCAAACAGGAAGTCAGAGTAAAAAAAAAAGAGATTTTCTAAGTATGTCTATGTTTGCAGATAAAATGTATATTGCTGGACTTTGACCAATAGAGCTTGTGGTAGGTTACAATGGGGTAAAACAAAAATGCCTGGGTGTTTTGCCCTCATTCTGCCATCTACACACATAGATTAGCCCTTAGATGGGGATGAAGTGCGTGTCACTAAAAACACAACAAAACAGTTGCATGTTTGCAAAGAAAAATGACAAAATCATTTAAATAATTATTTTTGGCGGACAATAACATTTTTGTGATAGTTTGAATAAAAATACAAAATTGATTAATTGTATAACCCTGGTACCAGGCAGCCACCAACTAGTTAATTGTTATAATCATTTGTCAATCATCTGCTGAAGATGACAGATTCATTATTGGTTTCATGACATTTGGTAGAGCTTACTTTTTTATACAAACTCAACTGCCGGTAGGATTGTTGAATGTAGCCCGTTAACTAGCAGAGCGTTACCAGACGGGACCGAGGGGCAGAGCTTGCCTTCGGGTCCAGCTCCATCAATCATGAATGAAGACACAATCATTACACATGGCAGCCAATGCAAAAGGCCGGACTGATTCGATTACCATCAGTAACTAAGCCCAAAGCATCCAGAACAGATCCATCAATGTGTACACACGAGACTTCCACAGTGGCTGTTGCCAAGGTTCAACAGGATGCTGTGGGATGCAGCAGCATCCATCAGGAAAGATAGACGACAGCTTGGTTCATTCATACTGGGACAAAGCAGGTAATAAGTAGAAACTATGCATCAGAGTTATTTTATTTACTGAAAATCAGCTGTGTGAAACTAACACCTAATAAATAAATGAAATTATGATTTTAAAAAAAGCAAAGGCAAACATCAAAACCTGGCGTGACAGGTCCACCGCTTCTCTTATGGCAAAACTGTTGAAACAATGTGTTGATTTGCAGCTTCTCTAAACCACATATTAGAATATGTCTCAGTGCTATGGGAACCAGGAGTGGGTCATCATCTCTGCTGCTTAACATTTCAACAATCAAACATCTGCTGTGGCTGGAAATGGTAAAGACACAAACCACAGGCTCAAAAACCACCACAACAGACAGCCTGTATTTAATAAATCTATTTATGCTTATATATATTCACTATTATTCAAAACTACAAGTTATAGAGTTTTCCTGACAGGTCGGTGAAAGCTTGAGTTGTAAGGTTTTAGGGCGTAGTCAGGTGGGAGCAAACGGCTGAAAGGAAAAGCCACTCAGGTGGTTTTCTCTGGCTGAGAGTGAGCTGACCTCCTGACTGAGCAGTAACCTTAAGGCGGCTTTAACGAAGTGAAGCTCTCCTGCAGCTTTGCTCTCCTAAGCTTCACTAACCCACTGAGCCCATCATATGTGACCACCCGCTACACCCAACCTGCTGCTCAGAATAATATTCACCTTAATCACAATCAGCTATTCAGATATCCTAAATGCCACAGCTCCAGGTGCACCATGAGGTGGTCAGCATCAGATTATCACAAGCCCTGGTGTAAACACCATGACTGAATTGTAACTCCCACAAATACTCAGTAAGAATTTAATTTTAGATATTCAAATTATAACCTATTCAAATGACCTAGTTATCATTTTGAATATCATTCAACAAGTAAAATGTCCCTAGGGATCTGCGCTTGCCTGTCGCACAACCGTGTACGATCCATCCACCATCACCATTACCTAAAAGAAGAAAGGCTACAGTTCACTGAGAAACACCAACGGCTTAAATAGCAGCATCGTTGTCATATTTGTGAACCACTTTGGCGCCCAGAGCCACACATTTCCAGAGCTTTCCCCTGAAGAAGCAGCAGCGGGGTGAACCTGTATCTGCCCCCTCACAGCGGGGTGTCAAACATCTGGCACAGCGGAGACCTCACCCTGGAAGTCCAAGCTGCGGCAGCACGGACTACTTGTCTGACAGATAAAGCTGCATCCTTTAGTCCGCTGAGAGCAAGCATCAGGCTCAGCGGAGATCGACACCGTAAACCGTGAATAAATGAGTTATTAGCGCGGCTGGCTGGTTTGTCATCTTTAGCTAGTTAGCCTTTCACCAGCACCCCTAGTTTACTTCCTGCAACCGAAGTCAAATGTAACTAAATAAATGTCACGTACCTTTGATGGGCCGTTCATAGGTGCAGAGTTTGGGTTGGTCTTTGACCGACATGCTCCCTCCCTTTGGGCTGCTGGCAGCGAAGGAACCGAATACCGAACCAAACTTGACAAATTCCTAACTAGCTAGCAGGCTAGCCTGGGTGAACTAGCCGCGCTAGCTAGCGGTGTGCCTCGGAGCAGCCGACAGGGCAACCGGACTCTGCTTCCAGGCTGAGCTGGAGTGAACACTGACACGGGAAGGGAGAAGGGAGGGAGGGAGGAGGTGTCTATATCAAGCAAATTCAAGCCTTTAATACGCGCAGCACTCTGCAGTGCAGTATTGCCCAACCGCTGTCACTGTCTTCGGATGAATCGTTGGTCCAGGAAACGGCCCGGGCAGCGCCGATCACTGGCTCCAGCAGAAGCACTGCGCGTCAGATCATATCCCAACTTTATCCCTTTTTTCACGGGCGAGCTGCATCTGTTACAGGCCGCTGCGCTTTGGTTTTTTCCCCTGTCGTGATCCGATGTGTCGTCCAGACTCTGTTGGATTACAATAATCCACCGCAAACGGATTTCCTATAACATGGCTCAGCGCAAAGATTTGTGGGTAGTGTAGTTTTCATGTGGGTTTTAATGCCCAGACGATCCTGCTGTAAAGGGCTGAAAGCAAGGCACATTTAGCTACTCAAAACTCTCTACTAGAGGGGGTCAACACTTCAATTTATGTTAAAATATGTAACTGGAAAACTTTAAGGCTGAATTTAGAAAAAACAAGACGTCTAAGCATTATTAATAGGATATTAGAAGACAAATGCACGCCAAAGAAGTTAATAAAGTAGCTCAGTAAAAATAAATAGTATGATGTGAAAATGCCCGTAAAATTTTATCATGATAAGAAATTAAGTTAACGAACACTACATGTATCATTAACTGTTTCTGAATGAAGGATGTGAGCGCCCTCACGTGGCCAATAATAATATTGCATATAAATAATATTGCATATAAATAAGTACCTGAAAGATTTCGGTAGTTTTTACTCAAAAATTATTTCATAATATTTTAAATAGGAGTTAATCTATTTTCTTGCAGGTTGACAACAAGGACCACCAGGATAGTTTCAAAAAAATCTGACTTTTTAAGACTGTGTTAATGCTAATGCTCTTTCTCCATTATCCTTTAGTTGATCACAATTCTCAAATATTTGGCATTTAGCTTTGGATTAACCTGAAAAACATCTAAATGTGCAGCTCAGGCAAGACTCAATGCAGAAACGTGCTAAACGCAGCTATTTCTACACATAAAAAGACTGGAGTTTTGGTGGAAGAGAATCAAAATATTTAACCTAATGTGATTACTTTCAGAGGTTTGAGCTGTCTAAACTTGTTGGCGTTGGCTTTCAGTGTCTGAAAAATTGGTTGTATTGTGTGTCCTGGGGAAGTGAGAAACACAGGTGTGTGGTTACCATGGTGACCTAATAAGTCACTGAGAGCAGCTTCAACATTTCTCGTCACACTTGATATAGTTACGTATGAAGGCATTTTGTCATATCTTAGATTATCACAAAAGTCTTTGAATGAAAGCTGGTTTGTGTAGTTGCACCCTTCAGAAATTCAAGAGAGAATTTTTCAACATTTTTGTTATTTTTTTCTACAAAAATAAAACGTAACTCACAAGGTCTACTGGTTATTGCTTTGATCTCCCACCAGCTTTCCTCAATAGCCTCGTGTCGTTTTTACTCATCTGTTGTGCTTCCTGATCTGAAAAGCCACCGACACACGCTACAGACTGTGTGACACACAGCATTTTATTAAAAACACAACTGACTGACATTCACCAGTTCACAGTTTCTCCAGCGTATTGGCTTTACTTGGACTATAAATTATTTTAGAGTTCTTTTTTTTTGTAAAATAGAATTCAAGCTTCTGAAAAATTCTATTATGTCAGTACTCGCTTCACTCTTTTTACAGGCTCTGTACATTATTGACCGTTAACAGTCACACATTGACATTAAGCTCAGTGATTAAATCTCTTGAGCTGACTGCTTTTGTTCCATCAGAACTTACAGTACCTTGGAGGGACACGAGGCAGGATGTACTAATTAGTACAACAGTGGTTCAGTTACAGCAGCATGAAATTATTTATGTGTAAAAAAAATCAACACGATTGGTCACAAAAAGCTATTTTTTGCTGAAACGTAGAGTTGACCTGATTCATATAGGAATGAACTAAACTTCAATATAAAAGGTTTTTTAGATTTAAAAAAAATCCCACCTGAGTGATAAAAACATAAAAACTCCATAAAAAATCCCCATATTTTCTAATAAAAAGCTATTTGATCATTTTAAAAAGAGGAGAACTCTACAAAACAAATCCACATCCTGCCTTCAGCCCGTCTAGGTCTGATCCAGTGATGACAGGCTTTCAGAAGGACTCAGGAGCATCTGAACAGTCTGTGCCGAGGTCATCAGCAGGCTGTAGCCTGGGTGTCCAGGAAGACGAAGAATGCCAGAGAGTACGCAGGAAGCAGCAGGTGCTTAGATGGAGGGAGACAGACTCCTTTAAGGTCGGGGAGAGTTTCTTCATCTACCATCTTCAACACCACTCCATTCAGTTTTACAAACCTACAGAAAAAAGTTCTCATTAGGAGACAATTGATAAAATACAGTTTAGTTCAACCGAAAAAACAAAACACAAAGTTTGAATTCTGAGGAAAGAACACCTGCTTATAGGCTGCTTGAATCCTGAGATTCTTCTTCATGTGGATGTCATAAAACACCTGGACTGGTTGTTTGTTACTCTGAGTAACTATGGCAGCTTTATTCAAAGACATCAAGATATGTTGAAATTTTAGGTGACACTTTCTGGTATTCTTTCGTGAATGTAGATTTAGTAAATCATAATACAATTATTTAGGTGCAGAAACCTGAGGGCTGTAGTTTCCTCTACAGTCTTTATAGGGGACAGACTGATTATGGCGCAGTCTGATGTTTAGCCACCAGATGTCATCATAGAGCTGGTGCACCACTACTACTCAGCACCAGTTTTGTTAAGACAACAGCCTGGCTCTTGTGATTAAACTCATACTAACCACATCTCTTTTGCTGAAACGTTCATTCCACCCGACAAAGAATACAACATTGTTGCCTAAACTTACGTTAAACCTCAGTAACGGTCCATGTTTTTTCCCTCCTTTGTGCAGAGCAGTCCCAGTAGAGCCATGTGTCAGTTTCAGTGCTGCATTCAGTCCTAAACACCAGTCAGCTTTCATCAGGTGTGAAACAATGTGCAACCAGACTGTTAACTAATGTCTCTGCACCATGTCATTGGTCTACACACACAAAGAAGGTTGGGGGTCGGGGGGGGGGGGGGGGGGGATCTCTGCTCAGTCACATTTAGCCTTTAGGCTGACTGTTGCTTTTCAACCTAATCTCAGTCATTAAGTCATCAGCCTGGTTAGTAAAATTCCATCAATGATGAAGATTTGTCCAGCTGACTACCACCGTCACCAGTGAAGACCAACGATTCTGGCCTATGTTATCATGCCAGAGCTTAATCTGAGGCCGTGTCTGTTGCAATGCACATCATGCACCAGACCACATAACTGACTTTTTTTCCCTCGTGACTTGATGGCTCTCACTCAGAGATAAATGGATGCATTGAAGGAGCACCTGGAGTGGAGTCCCTCCTCCCCAACAGTGTCAGACTGGAGGACAAAAGCATCCACTGTGCTGCCAGATACGAGAGCAGGAACTGAGATTCTTGCTGCTTTCTTATTCAGGTTCATCGACATCAGCACAACGGCTCCAGATGAGTAACTGCAGACACAGAGAGCAACAGGACAAGAAAAAGTCAAATACCCTGGGGTCCATTTCTGAATCGCTGGTGTTTATTTAGGAGAAAATATGTCTCTGAAACAAAGGTAACTGGTAGACGCTTTAAGACAACAATCACAGGCCCGTTCAGTGACTTGTGGTTTTATCTGTGTTGCATCATAAAAGATCAGTTAAGCTGCTTTCAGACACATTTTAAAATCTAGTTTGATGCTTTAGAGGATTGTGATTCCACACAGGGCCAGTATCCAGCACGTTTTTGGTTCGACCCTGCTTCAACACACCTGATTTCAATCAGTAGGTGACTAACAGGTTTCTGCAGAGCCTGATGAGCTGCTGCACAGGCGACTCAACTACTGAATCAAGTGTTTTGGACCAGAGAAACCACTAAAATATGCTGGATACCAGCCCTGGTCTACGACTTAGGGGGAAATAACATGTTTTATGTTTAAATATCTGCTGTCATAAAACCTGGAGTTAATTTTACATAATCAACCTAAAACTATATTTTCACGAATGTCTTACAGTTAATCATCATATAAAACTCTAAGCCCTGAAATCTGAACCTATAATCATAGTTTAAATCTAATTTCCTGTGGACTGACATTAAGGCCTCTAGCAAGTTGTGTTGTCTTCATCCAACAGTGTCCAGTAGTGACTTGTGTCCTCCCAATTTCTTCACCATTTTTGAACCACCACTTTACCACTGTCATGAAGTTTGAGTGACCTAAAGGTCCCAGGAGTCATGTTGTCTGAGACACTTAGCCCCGGTAGGGTTTCCCATGGCAAAATGGTCCAAGGTGACATGTGAGACGGAGGGGAGAAGACGTCTAGTAGTCCACAGAGTACAGAGTCCATGGTTTATGACCAAAAAGGTGGATTATCAACTCTGGGCTTCCACATCAGTTGAAGAAGTTTAAAGGTGCATTATGTAAGAACAAAGTAAGCACAAACATCCTGCTGTCTAATTTGAGTACTGCAGCCCAGTTCCAAAACACGCTTTCTCTCTACCGTTTCATGAGTTTCATGGCCGTTGACAGTTACAGGCCAGCATCAGAAGATTCTAGATGATGAGTTTTATCTTATCACAAGCCTGGAGGAGTTCTGCTGTGTGGTGGTGTTGCTAATGCTAATGGATAGCTTTGATCAGCTGAGAGGTTTTCTGCTGTTTCCTGTATGCTAAACCAACAACAGCCTTCCCCATCGCAAGTCAAGATGGGTGAGTCCAAGAATGTTAGGTGACAGTGTGATGTAGATCTGTCAGGATTTTCAAATACTTGAGTTTCACCGTCTGAGTTCTATCAGAAGCTAACGCAGGAGATAGGTGTAGGAGACTGTTTTCATGTTTTGCCTGCGTAAAAAAAAACTATATATATCAAATAAACTCATTGCATGCAAAGTCAGACATTTCAGCCTTTAGTTGTTATAACTGTGATGATTATGGCTTACTAAACTCTCTCAGACAATTAGAATATTGTGAAAAGGTTGATACTCAAAGTGTCACACTCTCAACCAGCTAATGAATCCAAAACACCTGCAAAGGGTTTCTGAGCCTTTAAATGGTCTCTCAGTCGAAGTTGAATTATTGAAATAAATTAACTTTTTCACCATAAAATAATTTTTAGACTTTCACTTGTATTTGTGGAGAGGAGCTAACTGAGATGGTTCACAACTTTGGTCAAGATGCCTCCTGGATGCCTCCAGAGGGAGGTGTTTTGGGCATTTCTTGATGGCAGAGGCCTCCTGGGTCTGCCCAGCACATACCGGAGATATTTTATCTCTACTCAGGCTGGAGAACGACTTGAGGTCCCACCAGAGGAGTTATGGAGGTGGCAGGGAAGAGGACAAGGCTGATAACCCTGATCCAGAGCAAGACGAGGTAAGACCAATAGCATTTTTTATCAGTTAGCTTGACTGAAGCCAGTTTTTTTGCATTTGACAGATACTGGTAACAAATAATTCTGAGTACCTCTTCTTGTTGGCACAGTGCAGATACATTCTCACTCTTTTACTTTGACCCATATCAGAAACTGCTTGAATTTTTAGAACTTCTGGTCCAACAAGTTTCTTGTAGAGAACAGACAGCCAATAGTCCTGAAATCAGAAACACAACACAGTGACTTTGGAGGCCTTTTCATGAAAACTAAACAATAACATGTGCTGCATGCTCTTGACATCTATATTTTGGTATCAACAGACTGGGATACTTTCTTTTGGACAACTTTTTTTCTCAACAGATTTGCTTTTTTTTAACCCTCCCACTGTCCTAATGGGTGTGACCCCGTGAGGAAAGTTGACCATTGAGCAGGATTGATGGTTTATCTCTTGAGGTCCACGTGGCAGGGGTAAGGTGGTGCTCACTCCTCACCCCTGCCACGTGGACCCAAGGTATAAACCATCAACCCTGCTCAATGGTCAACTTTCCTCATGGGGTCACACCCATTAGGACAGTGGGAGGGTTAAAGAGTGCATTTTTCCTGACTATAGAGGGCAGTGCATACCTTAATCATTGCGAGCAAGCTGTATATTTGTGTTTGAGTAAAGCCTAATTTATACTTCTCCGTCATCTCCACGAGGGAGAAACACATTGACAGAGACGTTTTGCTCTCGGACTTCATTGTCAGCTAGGAATTGTTGCAAAACAATTCCCCGCCAGGACAGGAGAGGGTGAAGCCAAGGCTGCCTTAATGCACAGGCCAACCAGCCGTGGCTAGGGGCCTATGATGTTTATGGGGGTATCATTTCAGGTTAAACAAAAACAAACAAAAAAAAAAAACACAGTTTTATCATTTGTCAGGTTTTCAGTCACTCATCTCACATAAGGCTGCTGACTGATCCAAATTACAAGTGACCTACATGTGACCTCTGGACCATGAGCTCACCAATCAAACTATTTAGATTATTTCAGGGCATGTTCCTCTAGAAGTAAGGAAACTTGAAATAATGTTTGCATTTGGTTATAACTGGATATAACTGGATAACTGTATTTGTCAGGTGAAAGTGAAAAATCCATCCATCCACCCATCCATTGTCTGAACCCGCTTTGTCCATGTGGGGTCGCGGGGGGGTAATCAGGTGGGGTACACCCTGGACAGAGAGCCAGTTCATCACACCTAAGGACAATTTAGACAGACCAATCAACCTAACAGTCATGTTTTTGGACTGTGGGAGGAAGCCGGAGTACCTGGAGAGAACCCATGCACAGGGAGAACATGCAAACTGCATGCAGAAAGATCCCAGGCTGGGAAGCGAACCCAGGACCTTCTTGCTGCAAGGCAACAGCTCTAACCACTGTGTCACTGCACAGCCCGTAAAGTGAATACAATGTTGGGAATTTCCTCAACATTTTATTTTAAGTCTGTTGATCTAATCGGTTTAATTGTTAAAGGTCATCATCACCGATGAAACAAGTTGTAGTTTAGCTAACTTTTTAGTAGAAAAAGGCTAAAACTTTTTAGTTCAGTGTTGACGTTCGGAGCACAAACTAAAAAATAAAACAAAGGTGTGTGTGCACAACTCCACACTTCTAGTTACTGGAGGGATAACTCCTGTATCTTCAGTGGTTCCGGTCCATCTGACCCGGCCAAACTCAGACCAGACGACTCCAAAACGGTAAAATTAGAAGTCTGGCGAATTTTATATTTTGCTTTTCAGATTATTTTTTACTTTATTCTTGTTCTAAAACCAGCAGCTGGAGATCAGCTGTTTTTCTTTGCCTGCTGATGTTGTGGTGTTTTTGTGGATGTGCAACAAAGTAAGCAAGGTGTGTGTGTGTGTGTGTGTGTGTGTGTGTGTGTGTGTGTGTGTGTGTGTGTGTGTGTGTGTGTGTGTGTGTGTGTGTGTGTGTGTGTTTCTATGTTAAAACCTGATGAGAAATATTTTATTTTATTATTTGATGTTTATTTTTACTTTTCCCCTGAGGCATTGCCACCTTATAGTGGTCTGGGGGGTTTACGTTTCTCAGTGACTCTAAGCTGCAGCAGCAGAAGTTCAGCCTTCAGGTGGGACACCACAGTATGACAGGTCTTAGGGTCATAATATAGAATAATAACACATTTTATTTATCAAGTGCTTTTCTAAAAACTCAGATGCTGTAAAAATCCAGATAAAACAAGCAGATTATGCAACAATGAAAAGTAGACGTTAGTCTTGAGAAGAGAAGGTGAACAGGTCTGAGTGGTTGTGGAGGGGCTGTAGGAGTGAGTTCCAGAGGGTGGGGGCAGCAAAGGAGAAAGCTGTGTCTCCCCAAGTTCAGAGCTTGGTCGGGGAGGGAGAGGAGGGAGTGGGATGAGGCTTAGTGGTGGAGCAGGTCAGAGAGGTAGGCGGGGGCCAGGTAATGGAGGATGTAGAATGTCATGCTCTGAGTGAGAGTAAGCCAATGGAGGCGTTGAATAGACAAGAGAGATGTGGTCATTGGAGCAGGTGCAGGTTAGGAGATGGGAAGCAGAATTCTGGATGTGTTGAAGTTTGGTGAGGGTTTTGGATGCGATACCATATAACACTATTGTATTAGTGGATTTGTGATGGAATGATTCAAGATCATTTTTAATGTCATTGCACTGGGATACAACAAAACTGACTTTGTGCTCATTAAAGACAGCTCACGTAAGAGGTAGTAAAACATGAGTAAAATAAAATAACAAGGCTAAAATAGATGTCGTGCACACGCTCACACACACACACACACACACACACACACACACACACACACACACACACACACACCTTTAGCACACACAGCCAGTTTAGGTGCAAAAAACATTTAAAAGTATAAATGTAGACATGGTAATAAGACATATATAAATTATTTCATGCATTAATAAGGGTTTTAGGGACAGAAAAAGAAAGAGGAGGACAACAACTTACAAAAATAAAATCCAATTACCTGACAAAAACAGTTATCCAGAGCACCTCCTTCAACAATGCATACCTATTTCCCCCCGTGGGATGCCTACTGAGCCTCTGTGCCCCAGGGCCCATCATCTGCTTAAGGTGGCCCTGGGGCGTAGCGCCTGCCACCATTACAGTCACAAATCCAGTCCACAATATTCGTTTTCTATTTTCTATTGTGTTCATATTGCTTTAATGTATTTCAGAGACTTTTGAACACGAACAAATTTGTCCCCCATCCACTTCTTCAAGCGATCGGCACCTCTGAACTCACGTTTCTCATCTTTTCTGTACACAAATAAAACACTTGCTGTTTGTACTCCTTTACTCATGGTGAAAAAAAAATATGTATATTTTCAGACTTTTTCCACGATGCCTTCTTCAATCTATTCCGTGTGTGCTGATGAATACCTTTTTGCTTTTGAGGTGGCAATGGCAGCGCTGTTGATGAATTTACAAGAAGCGGTGTTCTGACCATTGACAAGCTTGCTGTCTCCTCCACTTATGATGGATAGTTAAGAAATGGGGCATGTCTCCGTCACCCTCTCTGGGACCATTGGAGAGCCTTTTTGCTGACGCATAATGGCGTTGCGTGTCTCCGTATCGACGCAGATGAAGATGTATAAATTAGGCTTAAGACCTTACCAACGGATGGCCATTAGGGTCAAAAATCCCTCAGAGCACAACCTGTAGCATGACAAGCATGCCAGACAGAAGAGGTAAATCTGTAAAATAACATTTGGCAAAAGTTTTGCAACCATTTGTTACAAATCAGTAAATGCATTTTGTCCTCACGGGCTCCCTTAGAAGGAAACTTGACATCTAATATGGCATCACCCAGAGACTTAAACCCGCTCACGTGTACTTTAGACCCGATTTTTATGGTTATATGTTACAAAGACGCCAATATTTTTCATCAACGTTTTGATGGATATTTCCAGAGATTAATGGTATAAACTACACATTGTCACTTTAAAAATAAAGGGTTAGGTTCTAAATTGTATGTCCCAAGAAGTAAATCCCTCGTTTGTTTTCCAGCCAAGTTTAAAATGATTTTTCATTCGTTTTGAATCAGCAGCACACTGAGACTTACTGCTATGAGACTAAACTGATATTAATATGCATCAGCCCCAGGCTGAAGTCCGGAGTTTATGTTCATAATGAAGGAATTATGGTCAAATTGTCACGTTGAGAGCAAGGAGGTTGTTAGGACCCAAGATGCAGAAAACCCCAGATGACATGAGGCAGGAGTGGTTTTAAAAGTAAACTCCTTTTATTAGGAGATGAACCAAAAATCCAAAAAGGGGAGGAAGCCAAAAACCAAGTCCTGAACAACAGGAGTACGAAAGCTCACTTATGGGCCATTCCCATCTGTACCGGGTCGGCCCGGGCCGGGTAGCCCCGGTCGGCCCCAGCCTGGCCCGGTTGATTCCACACATCCTTGCCTTAAGCCCATGTGGGCTGATTCTACCCACCAATCAGAGGCTTGCTCTAATGGAAGTTGTGAATTTGCTGTCTGCAGTGGGTGTGTTGGCCCTGGTCGGCCTGAAGCAGACCCCCTCGAGAAGAGGGCTGAGAATGAGCCTTGGTTGGCCCGGAAAAATACCATGCCACCCAGACATGGACGTAATTTTGGGGGGGGACAGGGGGGACATGTCCCCTCTACTTTTTCCAAAGTCAAGTTTTGACCCCTGCACTTTTTACCATCCAAAAACAATATTACGCTATATTAAATTGACACAGGTTGAGCTCTAGGACCAAGCGGAAAACAACTGTTTGTGTTGAAGCCTGTTTCCCATTAGAACATATTGTAAAGATCCCCCCCCCCCCCCCCCCCCGCCCCGTGTCCCCCCCACTTCTAAAGTGAAAATTACGTCCATGCACCCAGATATGTAAACAACCTACGCTACCTGGCCCGGGCCGACCCGGTACAGGTGGGAATGGCCCATTAGAGCAACAAAACCTAGAGACGAGGACAAAAGCTCACTTAAGAGCACAAAACCTAGAGATGAGGGGCAAAAGCTCACATAGAGCACAAAACCTAGAGATGAGGGGCAAAAGCTCACATAGAGCACAAAACCTAGAGATGAGGGGCAAAAGCTCACATAGAGCACAAAACCAAGAGATGAGGGGCAAAAACTCACATAGAGCACAAAAACAACGCTGACACAAACAATGGACCGACAAGACACTGAGACAAAGACAGGGCTTATATACACTGGGGCATGATGGGCTGCAGGTGTGTGGAGAGAGAACCAGGTGAAAGCAATTAACCAACCAGGGAACTAACATGACCTAAGAGTAAAACCTAAAGACAAGAAAAGCAACCACATAACTAATATTCTAAGGGGAAGGAAAACTACAAACACCGGTGGGAAAAAACACACTAAAGAGGCTAATAAAATGAAAAGCTGAAACTATAAAAACTGCAGAGGGGTGACTGGGGAAGACTAAAGTAACACAGGACCTGGGAGAGTTATCTGGAGGGCTGAAGACCAGGGGACACATGAGGAATACAAAGAGGCACATAAGGGGGATTCTTAGGGGGAAATGGAGCACACAAGGAGACACATGAGGGAGACGTAGACACAGACCATGACACAAATCTGATGTATCTATCTGCTGACTGAGCCAAATGAATGTATGACTGTAACCAAAGTGGGATAAAGATCAGCTAAACAGCAGATGTAGGTAGTGGTTGTGAAACCACCTGAGGAGTTGAGCTTTACTACAAAACGGATCTGTATTCAGTTGGATCGTTGTCTCCACCACATATATCTGATACAATTACACCTTCCATAGGTAGAAAAATGGACATCCTGTGGGATCTTCAGTTTCATTCATTTTGGCTAATGACTACATGGAGGAGGTAGAGACAGTCCGACTTTAGACAAAAATAGATTTAAATGCAGAAAACATCTTACAGGAAGGGGATCGAGGTCATCATCAACCAAGTGGTAGCTTCCTGACCCAACCAGTACCTGCCTCATCACCACGTTCAGGCCCAGTCTGGCGCCCAGGCCTAATTTATCCAGCCACCTGCACACAGAGCAGATCAGATACTAAGGTTCTGTACCATACATAACATTAACTTAGATTTGTACTACCAGACAATTAGAGTGGAGATCAGAAGCCATCATTAGGGATAACATTGTTGTACATTTTTAATACATTTGCAAAACTCTCAATCTCAAATATTTTTTCGTGTCATTATGGGATGTTGTGTGTAGAATTTTGATAAAAGCGTAATTGAGGCTTTGACATACAATGTGGAAAGTGTTCCTTCCATGCTAGGTTCATTATCTTACAGATATCTGAGGGTACTGCTGTCATTCTAAACAAATTCACTAAACATGTCTGAGGTTGTTTCTCATCCAGGCTGGGGGTGAATTTTGGATGAAATTCTGTTAAAAAAGGGAACTTGTTGACCTTAATAGGATCAGGAAATAAGTGGCAGCAGGCTGCTGACAGAAATGACTGACAGGAAAATCTGTCTTAAAACAGCTTCAGTGACCCGGTGGAAATCCACCAGACTAGATCAATGCTACCACGTGAGTCAGCTTCTCATTAAACTACGTAAAAACTCACGGCTGTTGAAGCCACGATATGTAGATTTATTTTAAGTTAAACGTAATCTTGTTGTAATTCACGGGAATTTAATTTAAAATGTCACAAGACGGAGGATATCAGTGAACCAATTAGGTCCCACCTAATGACTGCTGATAAACACGTTTACAACCTTGTGCCGATTTCTAGCTCATTCATGATCCACACAAGTGTAACCATCATCTACTTTTGTCTTCTACAGCGTGAGTGCAGAAGTCACACTATTGTTTTACAGATACAACCCTGTGTTGATGGGAGCCAACTCAGGACTCACATGAATCCTGCCACAAACGTGTCAGACAGTCCTGCTGCTCCTCCACCGAAGGCTGAACTTGTCTCTCCGAGCCACACCCCTTTCCCAGGAGACACACTGTTTACTGTCTGAACCAAAGACACAAGCACATTCTCAATCACTTCAAACAAAGAAAGAGGCACCATAGCTGTGCTCTTTACCTTCTGAACTTCCTTGGTCTTTAGGGCCAGACTGTCCAGAACTTCAGGATCTAAAAAATCCTGCAAAGACGTGTCTCTGCCATTCACATAATAACTGAGAAAGAATTAAGCAATTTGTGAGGACAACATAGACATTACAGAGATGATGTTCAGAGAAGACGTCAACCCATGGATGGATGGATGGATGGATGGATGGATGGTTGGTTGGTTGGTTTGGTGGTTGGGTAGATGGATGGATGGATGGATGGATGGTTGGTTTGGTGGTTGGGTGGATGGATGGATGGATGGATGGATGGGTGGGTGGGTGGATGGATGGTTGGTTGGTTGGGTAGATGGATGGGTGGATGGATGGTTGTTGGTTTGGTGGTTGGGCAGATGGATGGAGGGATGGATGGATGAATGATACATGGATGGATGGTTGGTTGGTTGGTTGGTTGGTTGGTTGGTTTGGTGGTTGGGTAGATGGATGGATGGATGGATGGATGGATGGATAATAATAATAATACATTTTATTTCAACAGCGCCTTTCTGAACACTCAAGGACACTTTACAGAGATAAAATACACAACAATAAAAGATAAAACAGCATAAAACAAACAGACAGATTGGAGCAACGAGAGTAATTATTTGAATGCTAGACGGAACAGGTGAGTTTTGAGTCTGGTTTTAAAGAGAGTGAGGGAATCAATGTTACGGAGGTCAGGAGGAAGTGAGTTCCAGAGCTGGGGAGCAGAGCGGCTGAAGGCCCTGCTCCCCATAGTGACCAGACGGAAAGGTGGGACTGAGAGGTGGATGGAGGAGGAGGACCTGAGGGAACGGGTGGAGGTTGAAGGATGAAGGAGGTCTGAGAGGTACGGTGGAGCTAGGTTATGGATGGCTTTGAATGTATATAGCAGAATTTTGAATTGGATTCTGGAAGAGACAGGGAGCCAGTGGAGCTGCTGAAGAACAGGGGTGATGTGGTGGAAGGAGGGAGTTCTGGAAATGATGCGGGCTGCCGAGTTCTGGAGAAGTTGGAGTTTATGGAGGGATTTGTGAGGAAGACCGAAGAGAAGAGCGTTGCAGTAGTCAATACGGGAAGAGATGAGGCTGTGGACAAGGATGGCGACCGAGTGAGTAGTGAGCGAGGGGCGTAGGCGGTTAATGTTACGTAGATGGAAGTAGGCAGACCGGGTAATATTGTTTATGTGGGACTGGAAGGATAGTGAGGAGTCGAGGATGACACCCAGACTCTTGACCTGAGGGGAGGGGGAAACTAAGGAGTTGTCGACGGGAAGTGTAAAGCTGTGGATTTTGGATAGTAAAGATTTAGTGCCGACAAGTAACATTTCTGTTTTATCACTGTTGAGTTTGAGAAAGTTTGATGTGAACCAGTCTTTGATTTCAGATAAACAATTGGTGAGGGAGGAAGGAGGAAGTGAAGAGGAGGGTTTGGAGGATACATAGAGCTGGGTGTCATCCGCGTAACAATGAAAATGGATGTCAAATTTACCGAAAATATTTCCCAGGGGAAGAAGGTAAGTGATGAAAAGGAGTGGACCGAGAACAGAGCCTTGGGGGACGCCAGTAGTGACAGGGAAGGGACGGGAAGTGAAGGATTTTAGTTGAATAAACTGAGTACGGCCAGAGAGATATGAACGGAACCAATCAAGCGGGGTATGAGAAATGCCAAGGGAAGACAATCTATGGAGGAGGATGGTGTGAGAGATGGTATCGAAGGCTGAACTCAAGTCGAGGAGGATGAGAATGGAGAGCAGTCCAGTATCGGCAGCAGTGAGGAGGTCATTAGTGATTTTTATGAGTGCAGTTTCTGTACTGTGGCCAGGACGAAAGCCAGACTGGAAGGGCTCATAGAGGCTATTGAGTGTGAGATGGATGGATGATACATGGATGGATGGATGGTTGTTGGTTTGGTGGTTGGGCAGATCGATGGATGGATGGACGATACATGGATGGATGGATGGTTGGTTGGTTTGGTGGTTGGGCAGATGGATGGATGGATGATACATGGATGGATGGTTGGTTGGTTTGGTGGTTGGGCAGATGGATGGATGGATGATACATGGATGGATGGATGGATGGATGGATGGTTGGTTGGTTGGTTTGGTGGTTGGGTAGATGGATGGATGGATGAGTAAATGGAGTTATCATGCAAAATTGTATTCTGGATGGCTCTCAGCTACTAAAGCATGAAATAATAGTTTAAAATCTGTTAAACTGACTGAATTATACCCATGTTTGCCAAGGTCAGTTAGCTGTGGTTACCAAACCAAACATTATTTTCTGAGAGGTTCATTAAAACCCATCTACTAGAGTAATATATTTTATAAACAAACAAACAAACAAACAAAAACATTACTGCCTACCTTTCATTTTTTGTATTTAAAACCCCAAATGTTTTACATTTGTTTCAAATATAAATAAGACCGGCTGCCAGTCAACTTCAGGGTTCATTTCAAGATCCTGGTTCTGGTCTATAGGGCCTTACATGGACAAGCACCATCTTACATTGGTGATCTTCTTAGTCCCTACACCCCCAGCAGGTCCCTGAGGTCCAGTGATCAAAGCCTACTGGTTGTGCAGCACCAGGCTAAAGACCAAAGGTGACAGATCATTTGCTGCTGTGGCCCCCAGACTCTGGAACTCTCTCCCCCTGAGCCTGAGATCAGTGGACTCAGTGGTCTCCTTAAAAAGGCAGCTGAAAACTCACCTGTTCAAGCTGGTTTTTGTGTGACCTTCTTCACCACCCTCTACTTATTCTGTTTGTATTCTGCCTTTCCCAGGATCCATTTATTTCCCTCGTTCCTATTCATTTTCTCTCTACCTTTCCTTACATCATCTTTTATTCTCCTTTTAAACATATTTTAATCATTTTTAAATATTTGTATACTTTAATTTTTTTGTTTTTGTGAAGCGCCTCGTGATTGTTATCTTGAGTGGTGCTTTATAAAAGATTTTTTTCTGTCTTACACAACCTGTCTTAAAGTCACCAATCAGTGGTCAATGATCTTGGGACGCTGCAGCTGGTTAGATGCAGATTCAGCAGCATTATGAGCCCCAGACATTAGATCAGCTGACCAACTGAAGTTAATGAATGACCAGGTTATTCCATTATTGGATTTTTTTCTTCCCTGATAGAACAAGAATATTACTAGATGACGACGGTAGGCTTCATTGAGTGAACGAGTGGTTCAGGCAGCATGAGACATTTTCACTGCAGAGTCCAGTCCTTAACCCCAATGAGAATCTTTAGGATGTGCAGAAGAAGGCTTTGTGCAGCAGCCAGACTCTAATCATCAACACAAGATCTTAGTAAAAAAACAATTAATGCAACACTGGCTGGAAACAACTCAAGCATCATTGCAGAAGCTAACTGAAACAATGTGGGTTGTAATCAAAGCTAATGGCGATCCTTTTATAAGAGTGTGTGGATTTTTATTTTTGGTAGTGACTTTTTTCTTTTGGCCAGGTAGTGTGTTAACTGAAACCAGCAACTATTTTTATCCATAGATCTAAAAGTGTTTCTTTGTTAATAATTAATGTTTATTGTGTAAAATATCAGAAAATACTGATAATTATAGTATCTCAAATGAGCAGAATCCATCATATATATATTTACTCAGCAAAGACCTTTGAAAAAGCTGATAGAGTCAGAGTAAATTTAAGCTGGCGGTGAACTTACTGGTGCCAGGTACAGGCATCAATGGCCTTGGCTCCACTTTGCAAGAAGCTGCAATGCACACACGCGCACACACACACACACACACACACACACACACACACACACACACACACACACACACACACACACACACACACTTACTAGAAATGTGTCTGTAAAAACACAAAAGGGCAAACAGACACATGTTGTGTGTCTCAGAAACAGAATCAGCTCAGCTCAGCTGTTCACATTCACTGTTCCCAAATCAGTTTTCATCCCATTCCTTTATTTACACAGACTAAACAGACATGCATGATTCATCCATGGACATCCCAAGTTTAGTAGGAGGGATAAAAGGTCCATGTGGATCAGAAACAGGAAGCACCTTTTGGTTTGGTTTTGAAACGTAAGTCCTTCCAGAGCCTGCTGGTTGTGCACAAACTACTTTTAAAAGAAATACTGATTCAACAGCTGGCTAATCACCAGATTAGAAATCAGAAGTTCACAGTCTGAAGGTTCCTGTAGGCTGGAGCAGTGGTCATCCCTGCCACCACACAGAATCACCAGTGAATGAAACTGTTGTAGGTTTAATGAGGTTAGGTTTAGCTTTTAGTTTATTAGTGATCAATACAACAAATCAGATTTTTCTCAAAGTCATCTTAAGATTTAATGATTGAGGCTTTCAGCACACCTCTAGACTTCTCACCTGTCCAGTAAGTCCACCCTGTGGTCCCGTGGCTGGCCCACGTCAGGCCCATACAAGCCACCATCCCGATAAAGTTTTGACTTGGACATCATCTTTCTGAGATGAACAAAATCCAGTCCAAGCTGGTACCCATCCACCCGAACCTTGGCCTTCTTCTCAAAGCTGTTGGGCTCTGAAGACACAAACATTCAGCAGACAGTCTTGGATGCATCAACGACATCACTTCCTGTTTGTGGCTCAACAACACCACAAGAACACGGAACTCAAACCTCAGATAGACAAGCTGCGGGCTTTCATTGTTATACCCACTTCCCTTTAATAAACTACCAAAGGAGAAGGAAATAATATTGTTCATTTATGTTTTAGAACTTCTCTCTGAACTGACTTTGTCACAAATAAACACCAATTCAACCAGAGAGCAGCTGATTACAACGCTCCCTTCTGAAAACATCATCCATCAATCCACCCAACCATCAGATTTTTGTTTTAGTTTACAAAAACGTTTATTAACTCAACTGAATACGTCCACTTTCTAGTGCTTCTGGTACGCTGAGCTTCAGTAAGTGTGCAGCTCTAGGAGCTGAAATGTGATGCTGCTCTGGAGCATACAAGTGTGTGTTGACATAACCAACCGCTGGAACCATCCATTCCTCATTCATTTCCATGAGACTGATAAGATGTTGCTGGTTTTATTGTAAAGTTTCCTTCCTTCTATTTGCCCGACTTGAATTCTGGTAAACTTTAGGAAGCTTCTTACAAATTTCTGACTTTGTTACTAGAATTCAGTCAGCTGATTTAACGTAGCCTGAATGTTTCTTCTGTTTCTGTCACTGAACATTTTCTCAACTCTCCTTCTGTTAGCAAATATCTGATGGCAGGTGTTGTTGACAGAACAAATGACTGTTATTGTTTCACTCAGGACTAGTAAAACCAGTTGTTTTGCCAAAAAGGAAAATAAATGTGATAAAAAAGTCAAACCTAGGGTTGTGTTTAGGCAAGACTGACGATACGAGATATTTATCACAATACAGGAGAGACGATACGACTAGCAAGAAAACATTTGGAAATTTTAAGACAGGTCACATGCTTCCAAAAACCCATCCAGTGTTAACACAAGATCTCTTTGCTCTGTCAGAATAATGACGGTAAAAACCGCTGCCCCCTAGCAGCCGGAGCTTTAACTGCAACAGAAAGAAACATTAACTCATTTACTGTCAGCCGTTTCCTGATCACTAACGGCCTTCGCTACCAACGTTTCTCACCGTTTTTACTGTTTTTTTAAAGAGTCACAGAACGTTGCGTGCTAGGATGATGTCGATGCCAAAACAACCAAAACAAAGAGGAGACTCTTACATCAGGAAGAAGCCGCGTGTTTCGAGCGTTATCCGTTCTTTCATATTCCGTTGTCGAATTGTGATCGGCAGACACTTTTCCGGTTCGCGCCTCACTTTTTTTTTACAGGAACGGCCCAAAACGATCTCCTAACACATGGATGTGTTGCTTCCTGATCATGTGATCTGTGACGTATGCGGATGAAGATCGGCTTCAGGGCTAAGATGTTTGTTCTCTCAGCGCGGGGGCTCGTGCCGATGCTCAAACAGTAAAAAAATGCTAATGTCGTCATTGGCAGTGAACGGTTGGATCTAAAATGACGACTTTAGTCGTCAATGGCAGTGAATGAATTAAGGTGTGGGTCACTGAAAAAACATTTTTTTAAATAATTATTCCTGATTCTAATCAGTCACTCCGAGTTTTTCATGCAGGCTGAACATGAAAATAGTCTCCTACACCTATCTCCTGCATTAGCTTCTGATAGAACACAGACGGTGAAACTCTAGGATTAGAAAATCCTGACAGATCTACATCACACTGGCACTGAACGCTCATGGACTCACCCATCTTGTTTCACAACGAAGAAGGCTGTTGTTGGTTTAGCGTCCAGGAACCAGCAGAGCATCCCGACTAGTAAAAGCTAACTGTTAGCATTAGCAACACCACCACACAGAAAACTCCTCCAGGCCTGTGTTATTTATGGAGATAAAACATCCACGTTGTGAGTCAGTGGTAGAGTTGTGTTGCTGTTGTCCAATCAGAGGTGAGATGTTCAAATATCAGGAAATTAGACTCCAAATCCTGCTGTGTTGTGCCACTCTCTGCAGCAGCAGATTGTCTGTGCCAATCCAAGCGTTTCTGGGCTTTTTTTGCCCCAGAGTAGGGCTTGCAAAGCATTCCTACATACCAGGGACCACTGCAAATGTACTGATCAAACGAGTTTCCCACACCTTTAAAATGTTTGCAAGTAAATTCTCAATAAAAATCAATACACTGCTTTTAAATGTCAACTCAGTGTCATAACATGAAATGATGCGATATTTCAGTGTATCGATCTTTTCTTACGTCCCTTATGAATTCTGTTGTGAAGAGCTCATTTGGGAGTTCTAACTGTGACCTGCCGACATGGGAGCTGCTGACCCAGGCAGGAACGAGCTGTTGCTGCTTACTGGTTCAACAGGACATCAGATCAGTTCAGTCTTAGTAACTCTCACAGCATGCTTTCAAACATGGCCGAGTGATTCTTTAATAATTATCATGGTGTTTTGTGTGTCATGTGTTATTGCATTCCATAACCGTTTAGCTAATTCATGTTCTTGAGCTCCTTCTCCTTGACGGGAAGGAAACCTGCATCTTCACATGTGTGTAACAGTGTTTGGGTCGGGGTTAACCCTGACCTGAGACTCGGGTGACACGTACCGTTCCCCAGCTCCCACGACATGTTGTACCGTTTGGACTCGCAGTACTGAAGCAGCAGGCGGGCGTTGCTGCTGTTCCAGCTGTTGTCGGCTGTCCTGAGCAGAGCGTTGAGGCCGAAGATCAGATCCAAGCCAGAGCAGTTGGTGAACGAGTGCAGCAGGTCCACGGTGAGCTCTGAGACACAAGAGGACAATCAGATAATGCTCCGAGTAGGAGGACATTTGGTTGGACCATCAAATCCCACCTGTGAAGCGGACTCTTCTAAAGCTCTTCTGCTGCTCCTCCTTCAACAGGACCAGCTGCTGCTGAGTCCAGTCCTCCTTCAGCTGGTTCTCCAGCCACCTGGGCAGCCGTGTGCTTCTGCAGGACTCAGCTGATGACACAAGAACATATCAGCACTGCTTCTGTCTCTATCAACACCATCAATGTCAGCTGATGTTCACAAACAGGTTTGTGTACCTGCAGTGAGGCCTGCGTTCGGCTGCTGGCTCCTCTGAGGGCTGAACACCATGAAGTCCTGTCTCGTCCCGCCAAACCTCAGAAAGGCTGGACTCAAAGCTCTGGCCAAAGTCCTCAGCTTTTGAGATCTGTGACAAACAAGAAGAATGAGTCCAAATATGAGGATGAGGGCTATCGGTTTTATCACTGCAGCACAACAACGCACAACTTGGTTTGATTTCTCCAGAATGTTCTGGTGAGAACACCTGCTGGTGTTCATCAGTCTCTGAGCCATCAGCTGGTTCAGGACCTTTCTATTTACACACACGGCATTCATGCATAACACATGCAGACAACATTCACAACAATAAAATCCTCATAAAATATCACAGCAAAACTACAATTATTAATTATTAATATTAACATAACAACCATGATTCACAGTAACAAACATACAGTAAGGTCATAATAATGATAGTTTAAATTGAATTTTAAATGAATAAATATCAAACATTAAGGAACCAGAGCTGGGAGGCCTGGGGATGGACTGTCCGATCTCGGGGGCAGAAGTTGCTGAGTTAGTCAAACAACTACACAGCGGCGGAGCCCCGGGGGCGGATGAGGTTCGTCCTGGGTATCTCAAGGCTATGGATGTTGTAGGGCTGTCATGGTTGACACGTCTCTACAACATTGCGTGGTCATCGGGGGCAGTTCCTGTGGAGTGGCAGACCGGGGTGGTGGTCCCCATCTTTAAGAAGGGTGACCTGAGGGTGTGTTCCAACTATAGGGGGATCACACTCCTCAGCCTCCCTGGAAAGGTCTACTCCAAGGTACTGGAGAGGAGGGTCCGATCGATAGTTGAATCTCAGATAGAGGAGGAGCAATGTGGTTTTCGTCCTGGCCGTGGAACTGTGGACCAGCTCTATACCCTTGCAAGGGTGATGGAGGGGGCATGGGAGTTTGCCCAACCAATCCACATGTGCTTTGTGGATTTGGAGAAGGCTTATGACCGTGTCCCCAGGGGCACCCTGTGGGGGACGCTCCAGGAGTATGGGGTGGGTGGCTTTCTGTTAAGGGCCATTCAGTCCCTTTACCATAGGAGCGTGAGTTTGGTCCGCATAGCCGGTAGTAAGTCGGACCTGTTCCCAGTGAGGGTTGGACTCCGCCAGGGCTGCCCTTTGTCACCGGTTCTGTTCATCACTTTTATGGACAGAATTTCTAGACGCAGCCGTGGTGTGGAGTGTGTCGAGTTTGGTGGCAGGAGAATCTCGTCTCTGCTTTTTGCGGATGATGTGGTCCTCCTAGCTTCATCCAGCTCTGACCTTCAGCTCTTGCTGGGTAGGTTCGCGGCCGAATGTGAAGCGGCTGGGATGAGGATCAGCACCTCCAAATCTGAGACCATGGTTCTCGACCGGAAAAGGGTGGCTTGCTACCTCCGGGTCGGGGGAGAGGTCCTACCTCAAGTGGAGGAGTTTAAGTATCTCGGGGTCTTGTTCACGAGTGAGGGTAGGAGGGATCGGGAGATCGACAGGCGGATTGGTTCGGCGTCTGCAGTGATGCGGACGCTGAGCCGATCTGTCGTGGGGAAGAGGGAGCTGAGCCAGAAAGCCAGGCTCTCGATTTACCGGTCGATCTACGTCCCAATCCTCACCTATGGTCATGAGCTTTGGGTAATGACCGAAAGAACGAGATCGCGGATACAAGCGGCCGAAATGAGTTTCCTCCGTAGGGTGGCCGGGCTCAGCCTTAGAGATAGGGTGAGGAGCTCGGACATTCGGGAGGGACTCGGAGTAGAACCGCTGCTCCTCCGGATCGAAAGGAGCCAGTTGAGGTGGTTTGGGCATCTGGTCAGGATGCCTCCTGGACGCCTCCCCGGGGAGGTGTTTCGGGCATGTCCTGCCGGCAGAAGGCCCCCGGGTCGACCCAGGACACGTTGGAGAGGTTACATCTCCAATCTGGTCCGGGAACGCCTTGGGGTCCTGCCGGAGGAGCTGGTGGACAAGGCCGGGGAGAGGACGGCCTGGAGCTCCCTAATTGGGATGCTGCCCCCGCGACCCGGACCCGGATAAGCGGAGGAAGACGAAGACGAAGACAATCATAAGTATGAGTTTAAAAGGTGCAGTAAGAATATAGTGATAATATTACAGTGAATAATCCCAAAATGTCCCAATCATTTAGGAAGGAATGTTACTGAAACATGTTTCATATCCAGCTGGCTGTGGGAATTGTCAGTTTTTCTCCTTTCAAAACAAAGGAAGGAGAGATGTGACTACTGTTTACCATCAGTGAGTTTGGGAGTGAGCTAATGCTGCAGTGCAGACAATTGTAATTTGACAGTCGGCAAAAAGCTCCAGTTGTTTAAAATGGTTAGAGTAATCAAATTTTACCACAGGGTGTCATTTGTACTTCATTTCTACATGATGCACATTTAAACTCTTGATTATTTCTATTAAAGTCTATTTTATTTCTAATGACATAAATGGGCTTCCATTCGAAAGCAACTCTTCAGGAACAACAGTAACAGAAAAAGATGATTAAAAACAGAAATAAACTATCAGTGTGTCAAACTCTCTTGATGTTTAAATGAAAACATCTGATGTGTTGCATCCTTTCCTATGCGGCTCTTCGGTTTTACTTTATGTTTGTTTTCCAGGTAAATAAACGAGATGATGAACTCGGAGGTGTATTTAGATCCTTAAACCACCCATCACGTAATGAAACCAGCCCGGGCGCCAGCAGGTCTGGTTCTGGGTCTGCAGCGGTTCTGACGCGGATCGGTCTCTCCGGTTCTGACCCACCTGAGCAGCAGCATGAACCTCTCCTCTGAGGCCAGACTCGCGTCGATGGTGACAGACAGAAAGCGATGGTCAACTCGGCGAAACACCGCCGACAGGTCCAGCTCCAGAACCAGAACCAGGTCCGGATCCTGGTCCAGTCCACCCGCAGAGCTTCCATTGAGGTATGGCTGTCCTCTGAAGCGGGACCCTTCCGTCCCAAAACAGAAGAAAGACAGAAGCAGCAGCGGGACAGAGTTCATGACTCCAGCAGACACTTCCTGCACCGCTTCTTCCTCCAGACTGTCACGCCGGAGCTGGCTCTGCCGGAGCCGCTGCTGTGGCTCCACCCAGCGGGCATCAGAGGCAGGACAGAGCCTGGATTCATCATCCGCTTCAGTCACTGTGGTGCTCCAGATGTTGTTCATGGTTTCAAACTTGCTTCTCAAACAAATTAACCCTCCTCAAGCTAAAGCTAAGCACAAAACCAATGACTTTCTTTTTTCATTTATTTGTTTGTTTGTTTGTTTGTTTGTTTGTTAGTTTGTTTGTTTGTTTGTTTGAACTGTCTGCCAGCATAAATTTTGTCCCATGTGTCTGATCTGTAGGACTGAACCAAAGCTCAAGAGGTAGCTACTGAAAATCCACTGGCCCATGATCATTCTCACAGATAAGCCACATAATCTGCTGAGTTTAAAAAACTTCAACAGTTTTAAATATGCTTGTATTGTTTATAAATCCCCTCTCCCATTAGAGAAACGTATTAAACAAAGCAAAACAAAACAAAACAAAAAACTGTGCTCTAGGACCAGATCAGCCAGAGGAAACTGTGAGGTTCCTTTTAGAAGAACCACTATCTGTAGAAGGGTGTTCAACCTGCATCGTTGTCACATTTTAGTTCAAGAGTCGCCCACCTTCACTGATTTTAAGGAAGTGGTTAAGAGCCCATAGATCCTACTGGGGAATCAGATAAAATGGCAGGGTTGGTCAGAGATAGTGTTTAATGTTCTTAACTGCTCTTTTTATTGCTGTTGGGACTACAGGTGGAAAGTAGCCTATGGCTAAATCTGGCACGTTTACACTAAGTGATTGCTGAGTGTTCATTAATGCTTATTGTCCTCTCTGAATCAACTAATAAACGATAAGGTGAACCAGAGACCAGTAAAGTCATGGTGGTGGTGGTAAGCCTTTACCAGTCTGGGAGAACAACTCAATCAGGATGTGTAGAGCAGCTGAGGGTCAGACCCACTGACCTGTAGCTCTGTGTTCCTAGAAGAACCAAACAGCCATGAATACACAGGAAAGGTTTCAGGGTGGATATGAAACACCCTCTCCTGTACTCAAACCTAAACCCTTTCTAAATGCTTGAATAAAAGATGACTGATGAGGCCTTTCAGATAAAACAGGAAATGTTTTCCAGAGCCAAAAAAGGAGGTCCGGTCTCTTTTGACTGTAGCTGTAAGGATCACATGACCTGAATGAAGGTGTCTAAACTCGTCTGTGGTCTGGGATGCTTCTTTTTTTGTATCACAAGAATCACAAACAATCACAAAACACACACTCAGGTCCCACAGGTACACAAACACACACACACACACACACGTTTCCATTCATCGCTCAGGTCACATTTGATGAGACGGCCTACAGGGAGGAGATCAGTGCCCTGACCCACTGGTGTCAGGACAACAGTCTCACCCTCAACGTCACAAAGACAAAGGAGATGATAGTGGACTTCCGGAGGAGCAGAGGAATACACACCCCCATCACCATCAACGGCGACGCTGTGGAGAGGGTGAGCAGCTTCCGTTTCCTTGGAGTTCATCTGACTGAGGATCTTACGTGGTCAGTGCACACGGAAAGCGGGGAGGATCATCAAGGACTCAAGTCACCCCAGCCATAAACTGTTCAGACTACTTCCATCAGGAAGGAGGTTCTGCAGCATCCGGTCCAGAACCAGCAGACTGAGAGACAGCTTTTTCCATCAGGCCATCAGACTGCTGAACACTTCACAGACACCTCACCCTCACTACTGAAACTCCAACATTACACACTCCATACTGTGCATTAATGCCACAGTTTTGCACATACCAACCTCTGTATATTTTATATCTCTTATCTTATTGTTTACTTTATTCATTTGTATACTTAGATTAGCCTTTTTTTATATTTTACATGTTTTTACATTACTGTATTTTTGCACAACTCTGTTGCTGTGAAGCTCGCACACAAGAATTTCACTCGCATGTACTGTACCAGTGTACCTGCACATGTGACGTGACAATAAAAGAGTCAAGTCAAGAGTCAAGAGTCATTTATTGTCATATTCTCCACATGTGCAGGACATACAGAGAAATGAAATTCAGTTTCAGCACACACAATTCAACGATCAGACATACGTGGGTAAGACACATAACAAGAATTGGTGACTGCGGTCATTCGCAACATGAGTCGCGCTACCTTGTGATTTGATTTGATTTGATTTGGGATACCTGTAGTTTCTGAACTCCATATCAGGTAGACTGTTACAAGCCATCTTCCCAAGCTAGCCTAACTCTTCAACAGATGTTACGTCTCAGGGTGGACTTGTATTTCTGTTTGCGTGGGCGTGACACCAGCCGCTCTTTAAAATGCCCTCACTCTTGTAGGAGCTGATTAGCATTCACCGCTAACCTAGACTCTGATTCTGGCAAAACCGACTTTATGCAGCTCAAGGGAGACTCAGTTTACTCACAATCCATGTCCATGAAGCTCATGTACACTTCAGGTTAAGACTCTTGCCAGCTTTACCTGTAGCCTAGGATGGAGGAAACACTTATACCAATAACACCTAGGGATGGCAATTACAACCAGCATCTCTCCTTTGCTCGGTTACCAACAGGAGGAGACCCAACTCGTAAATCCTTTTTCGTTCCACGAATCCAAGGAACTAGGTTTTATTTCACACAGATGAAAAAAAGAATAATAATCCAAACGAAACCCCGGCACAGCGGATTTAAAAAGTGAAACAACTCTTTGCCAATAAACTGAGTTATAGCGAAGTTGAGCAGAATAAGCTCTCCAAAAAGGACACTAGGTCAGATTATCACAGACAAAAAGCTCAAAGCAAAAGCTTCCTTCATCCATCTCTCTACCTCACAAACTCTTCCCATCAAAAGTCCCTCTTCCAGACCCAGTAGCTCCTTTTTATTTACTGTCCCCCCTCCCTCACTGTCATTTCTTTGTTTGCTGCTTCAGACCTCAGACTTCCTGGTCACGTGTTCCTCGTCTCCAACTGCCCCAAAGAGATCTTGGATGTCATGATGCCACCTTTTCTTCTCCCAGTCTTCATCCGTTCACATGTTTCTTCTTCTCAGCGCCTCCTGCAGGATTCCTTTCTTCTCCTTTGGGATTACATCACCTCCTTTTGTAGCATTGGTCAGCAGAGGGAGACGTGTTGTTACCCCCTCCCTTTTCTTCTTCTGCCCAGGGTCAACTGGTCATCTCCAACAGAGGATAATGGATAACATACATGCTTACTCCCAACATCTTTTCAGGTCAAGACAGGTTAAATCCACAACAAGAATCTTTTAACCATGTCAGCAGAGTGAAGGCGCATCATTAATTTACGACATCACAGTTCAGGTGGCTACTGCCAGGATACACACACACACACACACACACACACACACACACACACACACACACACACACACACACACACACACACACACACACACACACACACACACAACATGACAAGAGAAGGTAACAGGCCTTTAGCTTGGTTTCACACACACACACACACACACACACACACACACACACACACACACACAAACATGACAAGAGAAGGTAACAGGCCTTTAGCTTGGTTTCACACACACACACACACACACACACAAACATGACAAGAGAAGGTAACAGGCCTTTAGCTTGGTTTCACACACACACACACACACGGGTACATCTTGTAGAGCCTAGAATTGATTTCACATAATGAGAGATATAGTCCAGACTTAATTCCATACATTAACAAGTCTAATTATACTCCATACAACATAAACATTAAGGAATAACAGATTAAAACAAAATCTGAGTTCTTGTTTCTTTATTTGATGAATTGCAGAGTAGAAACCAACAAGGAGGAGCTTCTATAATAATGTGGCCCATCAGGTTTGAGTTTGCTCACCCAACTGGCCAGACTGCTCTGAGAATCACAACAAACTACAGTTCATCTTCCACCGAGTGACTATTCGCCTGGATCGTCTTTGTGTTTGTATCTGAGCCTGTCAGCCTCTCTGGCGGTGTAGTGGACTGAGTTAGGACACCTGGAGCGTGATGGCAGTGAGCCTGAGTAAAAACGGACCTGCTCTCATGGCCGCCTACAAAGAGGTGGTGAATGAAAAGTCGGACACAAACTGGTGAGCTTGTTTTTACCTAGAGGAAGAGAAAAGGAAGCAGATTTGACCTCCATGTTGAGATTTGTCATTGTGTGTGTGTGTGTGTGTGTGTGTGTGTGTGCGCGCATGTGTGTATGTGTGTGTGTGTGCGCACGCATGCGTGTGTGTGTGTGTGTGTGCACGCGCATGCGTGTGTGTGTGCATGCGTGCGTGTGTGTGCGTGCGTGCGTGCGCGTGCGTGCGTGCGTGCGTGTGTGTGTGTGTGTGCGCGCGCATGCGTGTGTGTGTGTGTGTGTGTGTGTGTGTGTGTGTGTGTGTGTGTGTGTGTGTGTGTGTGTGTGTGTGTGTGTGTGTGTGTGTGCATGCGTGTGTGTGTGTGCGTGCGTGTGTGTGTTCCAGGGCTCTGTTCACCTACGAAGGCAACAGTAATGACATCCGGCTGGCAGATAAAGGAGGTGAGTCCTGACTAAAACCAGGAACACTCACCAAGTTTTATGCTAAGCTCTGGACTTTACAGATCATTAAGAATTCGCTCAAATCTGAACATGAAATCATTTGGAGGTTCTTTGTTGTGTTTTAAAGCAACCAACATAGATCACGGAAAATGAATCAACCAAATCAGTAAAAGCTGGTATGGAAACCTAATTATTTGCTCATTTCATTTGATCACAGTCACTTTAAACTAAGTTTTATGTTTCATTTCCTTTAGTAACACATTCTAAGAGTCACAGGGACAAAACAGTGCGAGGCCACATGAGTAGTTTTAACAGCTGTTTTTTCAACGCCGGGGGAAAACGCTATGTTTGTTTCACTTTTTAAATTTGCTTCACAGTTAAAGACAAAACAGAAGAAAGTAGGCAATTTACAATCTAAATTTTCATAAAGATTTCTACTGATATGACATCAGTTGTTGAAGATTTGTCAGCTGCACATCGGTCGTGTAAATCTTTCATTCCGCCATATCTCACTGGTTTCTGACTGGATTATGGTCTAATGACTGGAGACGGTGCTTTATCCTGCTGGATGTAGCCATCAGAAGATGGGTCTACCGTGGCCATGAAGGGAAGGACACGGTCAGCAACAATACTCAGGTAGGCTGTGGCGTTTCAACCAGGCTCAGGTGGTACCGGACGCTGTTACACCACCAGTAGTGGGGCCTGTTGGCAGGATGGATCCATGCTTTCACAGTGACACCAGATTCTGACCAGTCCATCTGAATGTTGCTGCTGAAATCTAGACTCATCAGACCAGGAAATATTTCCCAGTCTCTTCTGGTCTAAATCTGGTGATCCTGTGTGAATTCAGTTTCCTGTTCTTAGCTGACTCCTGGTGAGGTCTTCTGCTGCTGGAGCCCATCTAAATGGTAAGACAATGGTAAATGGCCTGTGTTTGATATAGCGCCTTCTGGAGTCCTGGAACTCGGGTGAAGTGTGGATCAAGGGCACGAAAGGGGATGTGATCAACTTCCGCACTTGAGAATCGGGACACCCTACGCACTCGCATCCCTGGTCGGGATCACGCGGGTGCAAGTGCACGGGGGTGCAAGTGCGAGTATTGGGATTTGGTCTCGGTCATTCACCCACTCACACACACACATTCACACCCTGGTGGTGATGAGCTACATTGTAGCCACCCTGGGGCGCACTGACAGAGGCGAGTCTGACGGACACTGGCGTCACCGGCCCCACTGAACACCACCAGCAGGCAAGGTGGGTTAAGTGTCTTGCCCACAAACAGAATGACAGCAACAGACTGAGCAGGGCTTGAACCTGCAACCCTTGGATCACATGGCGAGCACTTAACTCCTGTACCACCAACACCCCATAGCTACTTGAAGGTTTGACATGTTGCGGTGCAGAGATGTGCTGTTGTATAGACCTTGGTTGGAATCGGTGGTTATTTGAGCTGCTGTTGTCTTTCTATCATCCAGAACCAGTCTGCTCATTTGCAGCGGCAGCAGCAGGAAAAGACGTTCAAAGGAGCCAGGGTTTAAAAGGCTCTTTGATGCTAATGACTCACGATTAAACAGCTCTCTTCCTAGACCCAAATAAGGCCCATCACTGGTCAAAACTCTTAATCACCTTTGGCCAAGCCTCGCACATTATAGAGAGCTTAATGGTTTCAGTCCTTGTTGATAGGTCAGATTATTATTAAGTGTGGACATGTGCAGATTATGCCATCACAGTCTTTAACCGCTGCTGTTGACCTGAACTGAACCAATCTGGGCAGATTCACGTCGACGTTTAAATCAGAGTGTTGTGTTTGTCCGGTCTTGTTTAGATAAATTCCACTGTGTGTTTTTAGTGTTTCCCGAACAAGGTGTGTCACATTACCTGCTGCTGAGCAGCTGAGATTTCCATTTCTACACATAAAGCTCCGCCTCTTAACCAATCACCTCTCTTTGGTAAAAAAAAAAAAAAGAACAATTGTGTGGGCAGTAAGAAAGCTGCATTTTTCTGCTGTCTGTCTCAGCGTTAAGTTGTTCTATTGAATGTTTACTGAGAAGTATCTGAGATACAGTCTCGATCACTTGACAAATGACCAAAAATTGTATTTTGCATGACTGGATCTTAGCAAGGCTCCAAGAAGAGCTTCAACATGCAACACGGTGAACTAGGGCTGCATGATATTAGGAAAACCTGCGATGCGCGATGACAGTGATTAATATAGCCAGGGCTATATGAATTGCAGTAATTAAACAAATACTTAACACTAACCCTAACCCTAATGAAGAAAAATCTAAAACAAAGAAGTTTAAAAAATCATAAAAAATGGGAAAAGCAAGCATTGTGATCAAAAGATGTGAGGAAAGGGGAAAAGACAACAAACAAGTAAAGGCAATCTGTGGATCCTGGAAAAGCAAAATCAGCAGAAAGAGCAGAACAAAGCTAACTCAGGTGTCTGATTGACAAAATCAGATTTGAAGTAAACATCTGATCTGACCATTCACTGCAGTTTTTTCTGTTATTTCCGATACGCGTATGTCGATGTTGAGATGACAGTACATGTGCGATGTATTGTGCAGGCCTAGTCTGAGCAAACAATATATTACTCATAACATTTAAACTGAAACAGACTGTTTTACCGCTGATCAAACGTTTAAGACCACACCTCCAAAAGTACCCTGCCAACAAATCAAAGCTTCAAATATGAACTCAGTAATCAGTGTGTTGCAGCATGCTTGATGTAGCCGTTTCCATGTTGACGTTGTTTCAAACTGAACCTGCTGGTTTGTGAGTAAAGTGTGTTAAACTATTCCTAAATCTGTAGTGTGCAATGTCTTTAATGCTGGTGTCATTTAGATGGTCTATGTACAAATAAGGTAAGATCATTCAAACGGAGTGTGTGTGTGTGTGTGTGTGTGTGTGTGTGTGTGTGTGTGTGTGTGTGTGTGTGTGTGTGTGTGTGTGTGTGTGTGTGTAGATGGTGGCTTAGAAGAGTTAGTGGAGGAGCTGAACAGTGGGAAGGTGATGTATGCCTTCTGTCGAGTCAAGGACCCCAACTCTGGTCTGTCAAAGTATGTCCTCATAAACTGGGTAAGCCACACACACACGCACACACACACACGCACGCACACACGCACACACACACATACACACACACACACACACACACACACACACACACACACACACACACACATGCTTGGGATGAAGACTCGTTCCCAATTCTAAAGATCATTTCATCTTTTCATGTTTAGGAGCATCAAATCGGAGCTAAACTGAGAACAGTAACTGCTGCCAGACAGATAAATTTAAGGGTCATCTTGTTAACGGCTCTTCAATGACTTAACACAACTCTGTCCCTCTTGAACATGTTTTTGTGAACTGCTCACTGTAGACTGATGTGAAAAACACTTTGAAGCACCTTGTGAGTGTGCATGTCTGTGGCTGTAGACAGGTGAAGGTGTGAAGGACTCTCGTAAAGCAGTGTGTGCCAATCATTTGGGCTCCATAGCATCCTTTCTCAAGGTGCGTCATATAGCATCATTTTGGTTCTGCAATAATTTACATGAGCACACATGAAAAAGCTTCAGTAACTCTGACTCTAAGACATGTTTGTTGGTCAGACACTGACTTTCAGATAGACTGAGTCCTGTTCTGCCTTGACATGTCCTACATGCATGTCCACAGGGAGCTCACGTGACCATCAACGCCCGTGCAGAGGAAGATGTGGAACCAGAGTCCATCTTGGCGAAAGTAGCCAAAGCTTCTGGGGCTAGCTTTAACTTTCACAAAGAATCCCAACGTTACATAGAACCACCCAAAGGACCTGTGGTGAGAATTGATTGAGATGCACCAGATCACACACAGAAACTTTCACGTTTGCATGTCAAACAAAGTCAGACCTAATTTAACTAAATCTACAGTCTAAACCTCGCTTCTCTTTCATTCATACAACAGGGCTCCGTGTATCGAAAAACCAACGCCGTGGAGGAGATCCAACGGATCAACAAGGACGACTTCTGGGACAAGACTCAGGTTTCTCCCCACCTAAAGCCTGACACTGCTGTTGTGCTACTCCGTCTAAACCTGATCAATCTGCCTTCAGAGGGACGAAAAGCTGCGTCAACAGGAGGAGAGCAGGAGGGCGGAGCAGGAGAGGCAGAGGCTGGAGCGAGAGAGGAAAGAAATGGATGAAAAGCAGGCAAAGGAGAGAGAGAGGAGAGCAAAGGAGAGAGCTCAGCAGATCGAACAGGAGAAGTGAGTGAAACGGAAATAATAAAGACACAATAACATGGCGGAAACACTCATGCCTGATTTGTGTGTGTGACAGGATGCTTCAGAAACAGAGAGAGGAGGAGGAGGGGGAGAGAGAAAGGGAGAAACAGCGAAAGGTGAGATGGACGGGAACACCTGTAGTTCATAGATGCTTCCAGTCCGTCACGCTGAGAGCAGGAGGTTTGGACCCAAGGTGCAGGAAATCCAGAACACACAGGCAGGAGCGGTTGAAAAGTAAAAATCCTTTATTTAGGAGGAGAACCAAAAATCCAAGAGGCGAAGACAAAAACCTAATAACTAAACTCAGATCAAAATCCAAATGCTCGCTTTCTGAGCAGAGACCTAAAGACTGAGACTAGAGAGACTGGAGACAAAACAACGCTGACCAAGACAATGAACCAACAACCACAGAGTGACAAGACAGGGCTTACATACACATGGAGAACAATTAAGGAAACAGGAAGCAGGTGTGTGGAGTGAGGGCTGGAGGGAAGGCAGGTGACACAAATTGTCTAAATGGGGAAAACAGAACCAGTGGAGGGCAGATAGACCTAAAACATAAAACTAAGCCTAAGACTGAGGGAAGGACATACACACACACAAAAACACTGAGCAGGGGACAAAGAGGCTGGAGCTACAGAACGTGAAGGAAGACCTGGAGGGCTGGGGATGAATGAATGACACAGAACCTGGGAGGAATTGACTTTAAAGGGCTACAAACATAAGATACATAATTGAGACGCAGACACAGGACACATGAGGGCGCTATGAGACACAGAAGGGAATCTAGAGAGGGATGGAGAAACATCAGGAGGCACATAAGGAAGGGGCAGACGCAGACCATGACACAGTCAGAAGAAACCTTTTTATAAAATCCAGTTTCTGCTCTTTGCTTTCACTCAGCTGATTTTTTTCAGGTCTGGTTCAGATCAGGAGGGAGCTGTGGTTGGACCACAGACGTGTTTAGTGATAAAGTCTCTGTTGTTCAAACGTGAAGCTGAAAAATCTTCTTTACTGGAAGGATGTTGTCTTTTTGCCGTTAGGGTTTGAGACCAAGAGATATGGTGCTGAAAGTCCAGCCTTCTGACCCGTTTATATCTATCTAGCATGTTTATGTGGAAAACAAAACCTTAGATCAGTCTAACAGATCCAGGTTGAGACACCTCCTGGTTCCAGAAACATTCCCAGTCCATTCAGAGGAAAACTCCTCTTCTCAGTCATCACACCTCCAGTATGCTTAAAGTCCACCACCTGCTGCTGTTCACTCAGATGTAACACGTGCAAAACAAGATGCTTTTACTGTTTTAGAACCAGCAGGAAAATATGAACAAGAGGACAGGAATCAGCTCTGCTGCATCAGTGCAAAAAGCTAATGTGAGTATGTTGGAACTGTTTAATATTTAAATTGAGGATGTTCGATATCAGCATTTTTACTCATTCTTAACTGAGACCAACATATAAAGGATCACCACTCATTAAAAAAAGAATAAAAAACCTAAATTATTTTGGTTAACTAACATCATAATTCCTGTGATGCAAACTTCAACTTGTCAACTACTTCAGTTTCAGTTAGGCGTTGGAAAAAAGTTGCATTTATTTGGTCTCCAGCAGCAGCTGAATCACATTCTCTCTGAGATCACTCTGACAAATAATTTTCTACTTCTTTACATGTTTTACCAAACAAACAAATATACCTTAACAGTTATACCTCTGAGCCGTCCTATTCTGACTTTTTGGGAGAGAGGAGTAGATAAAGAATTTGACGTATAATATGTGTAACACTTCACAATAAGGGTCTCTTTATTACCATTAATTAATGCATCAGTTAAAAATAACGAGAATACCTTTGTTTATCAATGCTTAATCATGCACCAAGTAACATTAATAGCAGGACCCTCGGTGTTACCAATATCTGCATGTATGTAAAGGTCGTGTCATTAAAAGAGTAACAACCCATACTGGACCAGATTTGCCGTTGAAAACAATGGTGATTTATTTTATTTTTACCACATTTAGAAAGATTAAATGTGTAGTTTTATGTTTTGGTCACTACATTTAGTTACTTTAGTTTTCTTCTTCTACAGCTTACATTATGAAGTGAAATTGCTGTAGTTGCCTAAAAAAATAAAATAAAATAAAAGTCTATTTATTACCTCCTTCAGACAAACTCTTCTTGCCTCTTTTTGTTTTGGTCAAAGATGTAAAACTCTTTAAAATTCTGAAATGTAAATAACTGAACATCTAGATTATTTGTGTGTACTTATCATTGCAGAGATAGTTCAGACCTCTCTTCATTTCTGTATGACATATTCCCACAACATCACTTTAAAGTCTCCCTTTCACCATCAGGAGGCCAAGTCTCTGATTTCTCAGAGGACATTTAATCCCAGAGACATGTTCAAACAAAGGGAGCAGAGCATTGAGACCATCAACTATTCTTCTGCTGCCCCCAGACCTGGTAAACACATTATTAAACAACACACATTCATAAACAACACATCACATATTAATAAACAACACAACATACATAACAAACAACACAACACACATAATAAACAACACATCCCACATTAATAAATAACACATAACACATTAATAAACAACACATCGCACAATAATAAACAACACATCACACATTAATAAACAACACATCACACAATAATAAACAACACATCACATATTAAGAAACAACACATCTCACATTAATAAACAACACAGCACACATTAATAAACAACACATCACACATTAATAAACAACACATCACACAATAATAAACAACACATCACACATTAAGAAACAACACAACACACATAATAGACAACACATCCCACATTAATAAATAACACATAACACATTAATAAACAACACATCGCACAATAATAAATAACACATCGCACATTAATAAACAACACATCGCACATTAATAAACAACACATCGCACAATAATAAACAACACATCACATATTAAGAAACAACACATCTCACATTAATAAACAACACAGCACACATTAATAAACAACACATCACACATTAATAAACAACACATCACACAATAATAAACAACACATCACACATTAATAAACAACACATCACACAATAATAAACAACACATCACATATTAAGAAACAACACATCTCACATTAATAAACAACATAGCACACATTAATAAACAACACATCACACATTAATAAACAACACATCACACAATAATAAACAACACATCACACATTAATAAACAACGCATCAGACAATAATAAACAACACATCACATATTAAGAAACAACACATCATATATTAATAAACAACACATCTCACATTAATAAACAACATAGCACACATTAATAAACAACACATCACACATTAATAAACAACACATCACACAATAATAAACAACACATCACACATTAATAAACAACACATCAGACAATAATAAACAACACATCACATATTAATAAACAACACATCATATATTAATAAACAACACATCACATATTAAGAAACAACACATCATATATTAATAAACAACACATCTCACATTAATAAACAACACAGCACACATTAATAAACAACACATCACACATTAATAAACAACACATCACACAATAATAAACAACACATCACACATTAATAAACAACACATCACACAATAATAAACAACACATCACATATTAAGAAACAACACATCTCACATTAATAAACAACATAGCACACATTAATAAACAACACATCACACATTAATAAACAACACATCACACAATAATAAACAACACATCACACATTAATAAACAACACATCAGACAATAATAAACAACACATCACATATTAAGAAACAACACATCATATATTAATAAACAACACATCACACATTAATAAACAACACAACACACATTAATAAACAACACATCGCACAATAATAAACAACACATCTCACATTAATAAACAACACATCACACATTAATAAACAACACATCACACATTAATAAACAACACATCACACATTAATAAACAACACATCACACAATAATAAACAACACATCACACATTAATAAACAACACATCACATATTAATAAACAACACATCACACATTAATAAACAACACATCACACAATAATAAACAACACATCACATATTAAGAAACAACACATCATATATTAATAAACAACACATCATATATTAATAAACAACACATCACACAATAAGAAACAACACATCATATATTAATAAACAACACATCACACAATAAGAAACAACACATCATATATTAATAAACAACACATCACACATTAATAAACAACACATCATATATTAATAAACAACGCATCATATATTAATAAACAACACATCACACATTAATAAACAACACATCACACATTAATAAACAACACATCATATATTAATAAACAACACATCACACATTAATAAACAGCACATCATATATTAATAAACAACACATCATTTATTAATAAACAACACATCACACATTCATAAACAACACATCACATATTAATAAACAACAAATCACACATTAATAAACAACACATCACACATTAATAAACAACACATCACATATTAAGAAACAACACATCATATATTAATTAACAACACATCACACATTAATAAACAACACAACACACATTAATAAACAACACATCGCACAATAATAAACAACACATCACACATTAATAAACAACACATCACACATTAATAAACAACACATCACACATTTATAAACAACACATCACACAATAATAAACAACACATCACATATTAATAAACAACACATCACATATTAATAAACAACACATCACACAATAATAAACATCACATCACATATTAAGAAACAACACATCATATACTAATAAACAACACATCACATATTAAGAAACAACACATCACACAATAAGAAACAACACATCATATATTAATAAACAACACATCACACAATAAGAAACAACACGTCATATATTAATAAACAACACATCACACAATAAGAAACAACACATCACACATTAATAAACAACACATCATATATTAATAAACAACGCATCATATATTAATAAACAACACATCACACATTAATAAACAACACATCACACATTAATAAACAACACATCATTTATTAATAAACAACATATCACACATTAATAAACAACACATCACACATTAATAAACAACACATCATTTATTAATAAACAACAAATCACACATTAATAAACAACACGTGATGTAGCAAGTGGCTGATGTTTGTGTTTCCTTCCCCAGGAAAGCTGCAGAATCCGTTTCAGGCTCAGAAATCATTTGAGAAGAAAGAACCGGAATATCCTCAGAGTCCAGCATCTCCCGCTGCATCACAGTTTTCCATGCACTCCCTTCCGAAGGTCCCAGTCTTACCCATCTTTCCAGTTTCACCTACTGTAGCTGTCTCACCTCCAACACCAGATTCCACATCTCCACCGTACCAGCCTAAAGGTCAGAAATTTTGAACGTAAACAAATGAAGCTTCCATTCACGTTGGGTTTTCAGGGCCTCGTGTACAAAGACCCGCACAGATTTCCTTTTAAAAGACAACACACACTAAATATCTAGAAAAGGGTGTACACATAAACAAGACCTAATGTATGAAATTGTGTTTCTATATATGAATCCAACCTACAACCAAATCAACATGAAAATAAACACTCACATGAATACCAGACTGCTTCCCTAGACACACCTCTCTTCAGATATACAAAAATGTGCCAATAAAGCCGTATGTGTGATTCTCCTCTTTGGACACACATAAATCCTATTTATATACATGGGAGGAAAGATTAACCTTTACAGAATGTAGAGGGGCTTAAAAACACACGTGTGGAACATTGTGTGTGTGTGTGATCAGTTGAAATGGGATCCTAGTAAGAAGTAATAACATGTGTGAGCGACAGATCCTCATCTTTGGCCAGAAAAGCCTCTCTGTCTATAAACACACTCACTAACACATCTAAAGACGTTGCTGCTACAGGGAAATCATGCACTACACCATTTACATGCTTTAATGTTCACAGATGGACTGATTTGATTTTGTGTCTCTGGTGTGGACAATATTAATATTCAAATCAATAACAGTTAGAACTGAGAAATATCAAGTTTTCTGTTAAATAATCACGATGGCCAACAATGACCATGAGCATGTAGCAAATTTCTTTTCTCTTCTTACATGACCACAAACACAGGTTACACTGAGGGGGCAGAGTGGTCAGATGAGTTTGATGATGATGAAGATGAAGCCACTGCAGGTATGAAACCAGTAAAACCAAAAGAAAGTTATGTTTTATGATCAAACGTACTTCAGGGGAGTGTTTAAATCACATCAGTGGAGCATCTTGACTACACGTGCTTATCTCATGTGTCGTGTGAAGGTGCTGACAGACCCTTGTAGTAATTGTACTTCAGACTGGTTTGTGAAAACTTGAAGTGAGAAATCAGAAACTCTGAACTTGTGGTCCCACTCCCTTCATGTAGAATCACTGAAAATAACTCCAGATTCTTTCCCCCAAGTTTTGATTACTGTTGATTGCATGCAGGTGGGTGAGATGGACTCAGACTCTGGCTTCACAAACACATCGACAACTGTAATGAGATATTTTACCTTCACTTGAAACAATGAACAACAATAGATAAGGTGTAGATACTGTCATGTAGGCGTGGTGCGGTCTGGACCAAAGACCTTTAGAAACCTCATCTGTAAACAAAGAACTGGAAGCTAAAATAGGATGTTTGGAACAAAAGAAGGAAATAAAGCCTCCTGACCTCCAGCGTCTGAGGTGAAGGTAGACTCATGATTAACCCAGCTTTGGATGTCGAAGTAGATCCAGTGGTTTGCAGCTGTTTACCTCTAGATGTTTATCTATGTAGCGTCATGTCTCTACGTTGTCTGTGGTGAGTTTTAGATACGTTTTCATTAATGTGCATATCTACTTATAGCATCCTTGTCCCTCTGATTTCCTGAAACTCCCTGATTTCATTGTCAAACCCTCAGGGAGCAACCCAGTTCAGGCTGATCTGCGTGAGACTCCAGATCCAGCTGAGAATCTCTACGAGAACATTTATGAAGCTGAATCTGGGGTGAGTCCACTTCTCAGTCATCAGAAAGAGACAGAAAAGAACTGATGTCATTCACTCCATCAGATGAAGTTATCTGCTGAATTTACCTGAAGATCCACCTGAGGCTTTTAGTATTTGTTAAACATTTCATCATCGCTATTTGAAGAAGTTTTCATTTCCTGTATGTCAGGTTACTTTACTCTTAGCACTTTTGCTTGGCTGAAGAGACAGAAAAGTTTTTAATGAATTAAACTGATTGTTTCTGGATGTCAGACTGAAGACCAAGCAGGTGGGAGCGGGATCTGTGCCAAAGCCATCTACGATTACCAGGCTGGTGCGCGCTAACACACACACAAGCTCGCACGCACACAACAATCACTTCTAGTTTTACTAAGCAAATGCAATCAATAACAGCCTAGATATTAAATCCATGCATTAGATTTTATCTGTGTGTTCTCTCAAAAGTGACATCAGTTGGTAAAAACATGATTCATCCTCATGTATACTTTGTGTTATCACTTGTTTTGTGATAATTGTGTAAAAACGTTTTCCCTCACCTGCTTGCTTTCCCTCTCCTTCACAGCGGATGAAACTGAGATAACCTTTGACCCCGGTGATGTCATAACCCAGATAGAAATGATTGATGAAGGCTGGTGGAAGGGTTTGGGCCCTCGTGGAAGCCACGGCTTGTTTCCTGCCAACTATGTAGAGGTTATTCCAAGCACTTTGTTTGCAGCTGATGACGACAGTTGGTAATATTTGTTTTAACTGTTTAAGATCACATAAATGTAAAATATCAATAAAAATTCAATGAAATTGTTCACTTTTTTAAATTAATTATAATAACCAATAACACCAACAAGCACAAACTACCAGAATGCAGACTAGAAACACAGATTTAAGTGTTTAATAGATGCATTTATTTCATATTTGTAATGGATAGTAGCTCAAAATGTAGCATAGAATAAGAAAAGTATCACTTCAAGCCCCATAGGGTTAGAGACATCATTAGGCAAGGCAAGGCAGCTGTATTTATATAGCATGTGTCATACAAAAAAGGCAATTCAATGTACTTTCCAACTAGCAAGAATAGCAAGAGCATTAAAAATGTACATGACAGAAAATATGCAAAACTTAAAGTTTTATTTAAAATTTAAAGGGGCATTATGGAAGTTTAACAGCCAAAACATGTATAGAAATAATAAATTTCTTCTTCATACATTCTCCTGCAATGCCCTGGTCCTGTAGGATGAGCCCTGGCATTTTTACTGTGATTGCCTGTTTTTCTGTAAAATCACAGAAAAAGAGACTAGAGCTGAGCTGCTCGGGTCGAGCAGGCTGCTTCATGTGCGTTCACGCTCAGGCATACCCCGTAGCTTTTGCTATCCTTAGATTTAGCAGCAGAGAGTGAGGTAGTGCCAACTCAGCGACTTTGTCGCTGTTCCTAATGCCTAGTGATTAACCTGGCTACATTTCTGAGGACCCTTAGCTACTTTCTGTAGAACTTTCTTCTAGATATTTCCAGCAAATTTGCAACAAAATGGACATTTTCGCTTCGAACCGCTTTGGTTTGACATTGTTTCAGTTGTCATCAAGGATACAAAAGTTACAGACACTGTGAATGCTACTAGAGTGAAGCTCACCTTGTAAGATGTCTGACTCCCTTGCAGAAGACCAGGGTTTGATTTTGGGTGAGAACATAGTTCATTTAGAGTTTCTTTTTACATTAATCGTACATTTTTTTACAGTAAGATGCCCAAATTTTTATTTGAGACTTGCCGAACGGCATTGAATTCACAGATAAAAAAGATGTGGGTTCAACTTTCATTTTGGAACAATTTTTCAAGCAAGGGAAGGAAATGATCTGAGCATGCAGGAGGACTGACCCATCATCAACCTTTGTCGGCTGTGCTGAAGAGAAAAGGCACAGAACCAAATTATTTAATTAATTAGCTGCGCGTTCTCCTGTCCTCTGTCCTCCGGGCCACACACACACACACACACACACACACACACACACACACACACACACACACACACACACACACACACACACACACACACACACACACACACACACACACACACACACACACACGGGACTGTCTCAGCTGTTATTTTCGTTTAGGAGTGTGCACGTACAGCATGCGTGCCTCGTGCACGAGCCTACTATTGAAGCTGTCGTTACGCTTTTGGCCTGAGGGGGCAATCGCGAGCATAAAAATTCAAAAGTCCGTAAAGTCCCTTTAAAAGAAAAGGACAAAGTTAAAAGAAGAGCAGTTACAGCACAGAACAGTCATTCAAAGGCTGATGAATACATTAAGGGTTTTAACTTTGATTTAAGAGTTTCTAGACTTGGGGCACATTGGAGGTCGTGAGGAAGCTGATTCCATCTGTGTGCAGTACAGTAGCTAAAAGCAGCTTCACCCTGTTTGGTTCTGACCCGAGGTTCTACCAGCTGACCGCTTCCTAAGAATCTCAGAGCCCTGCTGGGCACATAAACCTGAAGGAGATCTGACATGTATTCTGGCACCATGCCATTGAGTGATTTATAAACTAGTAGAAGTACTTGGGAAATGATTCTGTAGTTTACTGGTAACCGGTGTAGATATTTAAGAACAAGAGTGATGTGTTTGGTTCTCTTGGTTCTTGTTAAGACTCTAGCAGCAGCATTCTGAATAAGCTGCAGTTGTTTTACAGCTTTTTTGGGAAGACCAGTTAAAAGACCATTGCTGTAGTCCAGCCTGCTGGAGATGAACACATGAATGATTTTCTCTGTGTCTTGTCTGGACATGAGACTTCTGAGTCGTGCTATTTGATGAAGATGATAAAACGCTGATCTATTCATTGCCTTAATGTGACCAGTGAAGCTCAGGTCTGAATCAAGATCTCTAACCTGGGTCTTTGTCTTTATTCCTCTGGAGCTAAGTTGAGCAGAAACCTCCATCTGATCCTTCTTATTTCCAAAGACAATAACTTCTCATGTTGTTTAACTGGAAGAAGTTTGATTGCATCCAGTCCTTAATTTGCTCTAAACACTGATAGAGTGAGTCCAGGGGACTACAGTCACTAGGTGAAAGAGCTAGGTAGATCTGGGTGTCATCTGCATAACTATGATAAGTAATATTGTTATTGTTTATGACCTGACCCAGAGGGAGCATGTAGAGATTGAAGAGCAGTGGTCCAAGAATTGAGCTTTGGGGGACCCCACATGTCATGGTGACCAGCTTTGATTTGTGATCACCAATAGAAACAACATAACCCCTGTCTTCAAGATAAGATTGAAGCCAACTACGGACTGTGCCTGAAAGCCCCACCCAGGTTATGAGCCTATCAAAAAGGATGTTGCGGTCCACGGTATCAAAAGCTGCAGTGAGATCGAGCCTCATTAGGACAGATGTTTTGCCTGAATCTGTATTTAGACGAATATCATTTAACACTTTAATAAGTGCAGTCTCAATGCTGCGGTGTTGTCTAACACCTGACTGGAAACTATTCAGCAGGTTGTTTGTCTCTAAAAAGTTGTTTAGCTGGATCATAACAGCTTTTTCTGTCTTTTTCCCAATGAAAGGGAGATTAGAGAATGGTCTGTAGTTATTCATCACTAAGGGATCTAATTTCCTTTTCTTTAGAAGAGGCTTAACAGCAGCAGTTTTCAATGATTTAGGAAAAATAGCTGACATTAAGTAACAGTAACAGTTTTCAGTACATCAGCTTTTAAGCAGCTAAAAACATTTTTAAAGAAGTTAGCTGGCAGGGTATCCAGACAGCAGGTGGGCCTTAACTATGTTCTCCGGTGTTTTAGCACTAATCACACTGAAAGCTGGCATTCTAGCCAGATTTTTGCTGTGTGGCTGTGGTCTGGTTGTGTTGGTTGATAAGGAGAATAAGGAGGAATGAATGTCTAATCTGATGTTCATGATTTTCTCAGTGAAAAAGTATGTAAATTCATTACACTTACAACAGTAGCAATACAAACAAGAAGAAAATAGAAGCCCTAGAGTTTTCTAAATACATATTTAATACATATTTAAATGTTCTCCCAAAGACATAGATAGTGCACCGATCATACAGGTGACAGGTCAATGCATGGCCAATCTGGCCTATGGATGGTGACCAGCATCATCAGCTAGAGGAAACACACACAGCTCCCTCTGCTGATGATCAGCCAAATAATTAGTAGCAGGGGCAGGAGTACTGCTACATTAACAAAGATGTTTAACTTTTATTTTTCTTCCAAAAAAGAATGGCATCTTCTGAAATGGCTTCAGACTACCTTATGTGAAAGTTTCAATGTCCCCCTACAGTCGCCCATCTACAATGCAATGGAAGTGAATGCCTGATGATCTTTAAAAATGTTGGAAAATTTAGCAAAAATGAAGTATTCAAAGGGTTCTGAAATGTAAAAGAAACAAGGAGAGAGTAAAGGTTTGCAGTAGCACTGCCAAATGTTACAGCTTTTGTTATAGTGCTGCAAATAATTGAAAGCCACATTTACGTTAATGTTGCAAATAAACAGCAAGAAGCCGTGACGATGGAGAAAAAATTAGAACAAGAACTGCAGAGGGCCCCATTGTTTTGTTTGCCTTGGGCCCTGAACTACTAAACCGAGAAGTATCGCTGCACTGCGGGAGACCGCAGATTCAGGCCGACTGCTGTCAAAATCTGTCCACTAGAGGGCCCTGTCTCGAAAAAAGGTAAAAGCCAGATTCTGCGGTCATCTGCCACTGCAGGAAATTAACCTTTCCCGTCTGTAAAGCTTCACTTTGCTATAATCACAGTTAACCATCCGGTGTATGTCTTTAATAAAACCGCACCGATAAATTTTCTAAGTAATGAATCTTTGAGACCGTTGAAGAAAAACCATCTCTTTCCAAATTCAAGTGCCTCAGAGAGCATTTGACGTCATCTCCCTGCGACGTGTGTGACTAGTAGAAGAAAAATGGCTGCAAGGTTCGTCCTTCGTCCTGCGATTAGGGCCGCGGTGAGCTATCGAGCCGGCCGGGCTTTTGTTCAGAGTCGCGGCATGGCTGCTGGAGGTGAGGACCGAGCTACCACCAACACGAAAACCCCAAATAGAGCTCTGATGTCAGCTGGAGGAAGGCTTATCCCCAGCCAGGAAGACCGCTAAGAATCAGAAGCTACTTTGTCATTTAGGCCAGACTTCATAAAAGACTTGAGTGGTTCTGTTCAAGTTTGTTGTTTTAATTTATTTACCCATAAAGATATATTTTCTGGAGAAACTGAGGCATAATTTTTAATTTGGCACAGTTTTTTAAATCAACTGTAGCGATAGTTTTCGATTTTGAACATTAGCCAGGCTGACAGTAGAGGAGGTGAGCTCTCCGGTTTGTAGTCATCCAGTTAATCCGTACTAATTAACAGTTTATCAGCAAGTAGAGAACTGTTTAAAAACTGTTAATCATTGATGTTATGAGTTTTTTTCTGCCACATTCTGACGATATTATTCGTCGGTTTCAAACGGGAAAAAAACATTTTCTTGTGGTCTATTTGTATAAATTTCTCAAAGTTTTGCGTTTTAACTGAATACAAGAATTATTTTACACTCCTTTTGTATTATTCTAATACTAATGTAGGATTTACCAGTTTGTGACTTAAATTGATGTTGATGCTTAATAAGCAACAGATCCAGCAGCCCTCAGGAATAAATGTTAGATGTTTTTGTCAGGGATTCCTACTGATGAGGAGCAGGCCACTGGGCTGGAGAAAATCATCATGAAGGCCACGAAGGAGGGAGCAGTAAGGACAACTCGACACACACACACACACACACACACACACACACACAGAGATTTAATATAATAACCTCTTCCTGCAGGATCCGTACAGCATAATGAAACCAAAGAGCTATGCCGGTACCAAGTCCGATCCCCACCTGGTCCCCTCCATCAACAAGAAGAGGATTGTGGGATGTGTCTGTAAGTTGCAGTCATCAAACAGACCAGCCAGTTAAAATGAAGTTTATTATCAGTCTTTGTGTCTTCAACTCAGAAAGTAAAACTAAATGTAACTCGGTAACAAAACAATAAAAGGTGTTATTTTCTTTTCCCTTACAGGTGAGGAGGACAACACGGCGGTGGTTTGGTTCTGGCTTCACGAAGGTGAGGCCCAGCGCTGTCCATCCTGTGGTGCCCACTATAAACTGGTGGCTCATCAGCTGCCCCACTAACTACAGATCACCTTCAGAACAAGAAGAGTCTACTTGTTTTCCTTCTGAGCCTAGTTGACTCGGTCTATTTCCTGGTCTGACGGCTTGTTCTGTCTCAGTACTTGATCCAACCGCTCACCTCGTCTCTCTGTTATGTGTCCAGACAGATCACGTGTTTGAACATTCGGTCACTTTACATCAACACGTGAACTGTCACACTGGGTCCACTTCACTCCTTTTGCTGACCAATAAAAACACATCTCTTTGACTTTCTGCTGCCTCGTTTGTTTAACTGATAACTGATCATATTAGAATGTGTTCTTTTGGAAATCTCGGATTCATCTGCTGTGTGGAGAAGCGTCACGTTTCTTTATTAGAGTGGGATGTAAAATTTGGGCAGCCTTGTTAAAATTCATGATTTTCCTGTATAACTTGTTACAATAACAATTTTCATGTAAACATATCATATAGGAAACACAGTGATGTTTGAGAAGTGAAACAAAGTTTATAGGATTTACAGAAAATGTAATAATTGTTTAAAGGTGCATAAATATACAGGTGCTGGCCAGTAAATTAGAATATCATCAAAAGGTTGAAAATATTTCAGTAATTCCATTCAAAACGTGAAACTTGTACATTATATTCATGCAATGCACACAGACCAATGTATTTCCAATGTTCATTACATTTAAATTTGATATTCATAAGTGACAACTAATGAAAACTCCAAATTTGGTATCTCAAAAAATTAGAATATTCTGAAAAGGCTGAATATAGAAGACACCTGCTGCCACTCTAATCAGCTGATTTACTCAAAACACCTGCAAAGGCCTTTAAAAGGTCCCTCAGTCTTGTTTTGAAGGCACCACAATCATGGGGAAGACTTCTGACTTAACAGCTGTCCAAAAGACAATCATTGACACCTTGCACAAGGAGGGCAAGACACAAAAGGTGATTGCTAAAGAAGCTGGCTGTTCGCAGAGCTCTGTGTCCAAGCACATTAACAGACAGGCGAAGGGACGGAAAAAATGTGGTAGAAAAAAGTGTACAAGCTCTAGGGATAACCGCACCCTGCAGAGAATTGTGACGACAAACCCATTCAAAAATGTGGGGGAGATCCACAAAGAGTGGACTGCAGCTGGAGTCAGCGCTTCAAGAACCACCACGAGGAGACTCATGAAAGACATGGGATTCAGGTGTCGCATTCCGTGTGTCAAGCCACTCTTGAACAAGAAACAGCGCAAGAAGCGTCTCGCCTGGGCCAAGGACAAAAAGGACTGGACTGATGCTGAGTGGTCCAAAGTTATGTTTTCTGATGAAAGCAAGTTCTGCATTTCCTTTGGAAATCAAGGACCCAGAGTCTGGAGGAAGAGCGGAGAAGCACAGAATCCACGTTGCATGAGGTCCAGTGTAAAGTTTCCACCGTCAGTGATGGTGTGGGGTGCCATGTCATCTGCCGGTGTTGGCCCACTCTGTTTCCTGAGGTCCAGGGTCAATGCAGCCGTCTACCAGGAAGTTTTAGAGCACTTCATGCTTCCTGCTGCTGACCAACTTTATGGGGATGCAGACTTCACCTTTCAACAGGACTTGGCACCTGCACACAGTGCCAAAACCACCAGCACCTGGTTCAAGGACCATGGTATCCCTGTCCTTGATTGGCCAGCAAACTCGCCTGACCTTAACCCCATAGAAAATCTATGGGGTATTGTGAAGCGGAGGATGCAATACGCTAGACCCAACAATGCAGAGGAGCTGAAGACGACTATCAGAGCAACCTGGGCTCTCATAACACCTGAGCAGTGCCACAGACTGATCGAGTCCATGCCACGCCGCATTACTGCAGTTATTGAGGCAAAAGGAGCCCCGACTAAGTATTGAGTGCTATACATGCACATTCTTTTCATGTTCATTCTTTTCAGTTGGCCAACATTAGAGAAACAAACATTTTTTCATTGGCCTTTAGAATATTCTAATTTTCTGAGATACCAGATTTGATGTTTTCATTGGTTGTCACCTATAAATATCAAAATTAAACGTAATAAACATCGGAAATACATTGGTCTGTGTGCATTGCATGAATATAATGTACAAGTTTCACGTTTTGAATGGAATTACTGAAATATTTTCAACCTTTTGATGATATTCTAATTTACTGGCCAGCACCTGTATAAAATGAACTAAATATCATAGATCCTCCTTTTGCAGGAATAACAGCCTCTAAACACTTCCTACAGCTTCCAATGAGAGTCTGGATTGTGGCTGAAGGTATTCTGGACCATTCTTTACAAAACATCTCTAGTTCATTCAGGTCTGATGGTTTCTGAGCACGGACAGCTCTCTAACTCACACCACAAATGTTCAATAACATTCAGGTCTAGGGACGGAGATGGCCATTCTAGAACGTTCTACTTGTTCCTCTGCATGGACGCCTTAGTAGATGTTGAGCAGCGTTTAGGGTCGTTGTCTTGTTGAAAGATCCGGCCCCGGTGCAGCTTCAGCTTTGTCACTGATTCCTGGACATTGGTCTCCAGAATCTGATGAGTGGAATCCATGCGTCCCTCAATTTCAACAGATTCCCAGTCCCTGCACTGGCCACACAGCCCACAGCATGATGGAACCACCGCCATGCTTTACTGTAGGTAGCAGGTGTTTCTCCTGGAATGCTGTGTTCTTTTTCCTCCATGCATAACGCTCCTTGTTTTGCCCAAATAACTCCCGTTTTAGTTTCATCAGTCCACAGCACCTTATTCCAGAATGAAGCTGATGAAAATTAACCAAACCAAATCTGAGCTCCGATAATTAGTTCTGAAGGTATTGGGATCAACAAAATTACAACAGTGCCCACATGTTTGCACCTGCCTAATTGTGTAAACAAATATTACACTTTCTGTAAATCCTACAAACCGTTTCACTTCTCAAACATGACTGTGTGCGTTTCCTATGTGATATATTTAACTTGGCATTTTTATTGTAACAACCACGATTTACTCAGGAAAATCATGAAGATTAACAAGGCTGCCCAAACTTCCACATCCCACTGTAATTACAGAAACGTTTTACATCAGCAGAAGCAAAGACCTAAAATGTCCTCGTTTCTTATTTTTACACGAGAACAAAGGGGAAAAAGCAGATACTCATTTACACGAGCTGGGCTGATCCCCAAAATAAATTCAAATAAGATGTTAGGAGAGATGTCTATTTTTACATCCTTCTTCCAAACAAGTATCCGTTATAACTTAATGGTAAAGGAAAGTTTTAGCCAAATAGAAAAAAGATCAACTCTTTTTCTGTTTTAGAAGTAAATTATTTTCTCTGGTTGAACTCATAAAATATTAACTTTTTTGAATATAATTTAACAACCTCTTCTTCAGGTCCCTTTGATTCTGCCCTGATTCTACATTTATCCTATTCCACCAAGAACAAAATGTTTATAAATCACTAATTCGTCATCCATAAAACCCAAGTTTAGATTTCCAAAAAGGTTCTGCCTGATGTCCATAACTCACCTCCTTTATTTACCAGTTCAAGAAAATTATCAGATGATTTCTGGACATAAACACCATGGTTTTGACTGCTACATTGACGTTAATAAAGATTTATCTAAAGTGTTGAATGATCAAACATGGATCTGGTGGGTGTGGCTGCTGCAGAACCATCAGACCATGTCCTCCTAGGTCAAGTTAAGAAGTTAAGCTCACATATTCAACCCCGAGTCGTATTCCTGGACCTCCAGGGAGCGCGAGTGAGCCAACATACATAACTAGACTGGATGATTTAAAGATCATTTATTAACAGGTACAGCTTTAACAGGTGTGGACTTCTCGAACGGATTCAGACACAAATAAAAATAAGCACATGGGGCCTGAAAACGAGCAGATTTCACTTGATTTATTTATTTATTGCAATAAAGATATACAAAGTACTGTAATCATGTAATCATTCACTGTTAAAATGTTAGAAAAAGCACAGCTGTGACTGTATAGTGTATCAAAACGGGTTCTACTCTCTGGGTCCACTCCCTCCACCGGCTCCTCGTCATCACGGCGCTCTCTGAAATATTTAGTGTCAAAACATGAAGGCATCAAAAAGCAAACAGAAAAACATGCTAATTAACAAACAAGCAAAGCAAAATAATGAACAAACAAAGCATCTAAAATAAATATCATGAAAACCAACTGAACTCCTCTAGACTAGGTTATTTACATGCTTTGCGGAGAAACTAAACGGGTCTGTAGGCGGTTCTGGAACCAGGCTGCAACACAACCCCTCCGTCACTTCGGTCTGACAGCTGAGTGACGGACAGGAACGGGAGCTTTGGCAAAGGAAGAAGAAAAAGAGCGTATGATGATGCTTTGGTCCTGACGCCTACAGGTGAGCTCTGATTGGTGGAGCAGGAAGCAGAAACATTCAGAAAGTCTAACGTTTACAGGAAGTCTGATTACACACGCGCTTGGATTATAGAGATTAACCTGTGTTTAATGGGGGTGGGGGTGGGGCAGGAGGCTTCACAGTATCAACACAGGCTCACTTCTGCACTCGCTCTGGTACCAGAGAGGCCCAAACGTCAAGTGTCTGAGTTGGACCTGACGGGAGGGACCAGAACCTCTGATCAGGATTACAGGTTAGAGTTTTAGTACTTCACTTTGCAGTAACGGCAGACAGGAATGGCTTTGTATTGTGTGCTTCTTAACATTCTTCATGTCCGAATGGATCAGAAACCGCATATCCTTCTAACAGGATCAAACTTCCTGTCCAACTGGGTCTGAGACCAGAACCCCACTGGGCGGTGACTGCTGGGAGACTAAAGGGAAGGTACATCAGGATTAACAGTTACGGTAAGGTCTTATGTCTCCAACTCCTCCCAAACCCGTCTCGTATCTTTGAACTTCGATTCTCAGAAACTAAACTTGGCTTTTTTTAGTTCGACTCCTAAACGATTTCCAGCAACATGTGAGGGAAGTTCTGAGATTATAGAGAAGAAGTGAGAACCCTTCTAGAACATCTGGAAACTCCTCGATGGTTCTGCTGGTCTCCCACGGCACGGGCCTGGTGAGGTTCTGGGTCCATCAGGAGAGATGACACCACACGCTGCGTTGTGCTTATTACAGTAGAACATGAGCGCTTGTAGCAGTTCTGGTTCTGACCCATCACGGAAGCATCAGGTTAAACACTGTTGGCTTGTGGACATCACACCCGTTTCCTCACCTTACCGCCCAGCAGAACAACTGGAGCTCTAATCATCCTGTGGTTTTAAAAAACACGTCACTAAATCAGACCTGAAGCCAAAGCTTCCCGTTTATGATTGTATCCGCGGCTCGTAATGTACAAACCAGACAGGTGGCGGTACCACTCCGACACCACTACGGTTCTGGTCAGAGACTGGATCCAGACTGGACCAGTTTAGGTTAACGTATGGCTTTCTGTGGAACCACGACAGCATCCTATGGGGCATGTTGGTCTGCAGGTGGAGCAAGGAAAGCCAGACCCTCCCACAGCTCGTATGCATAGAGGTCACAGGTGGACCGGGTCTGGTCTGAACCATCAGCGGCGCTGGCCAACATCAGCTGGAGACCACTTCACTAACGGCAACGATGGCAGGAACATGGAGATGCCTTTACAGGAACATGGGACAACATGGCTTCAGGGGAACAATCGTCTGGACTTTTGATTAAGGCGCAGTTTCATCAGCTTGTTGGATGGAGCAGTCTCTAAAAGGGAACAGGTGGCGTGGACTCAGATCAGCAGCTACATGAAGGAACCTCTCAGGAACCAACACCACATTCATCTATCTGCGACTCTGAGAAGTGCTTGAAGCGTCGAGCCTGTCGGTGACAGAGGTTTTCCTGGAACGACTTCATAAAGGAAGACTAAAGGAGCTAAACTAAAAGCTACAACCCCGAATCAACCTAGAGACTACAATATAAATAAATGACAGAGAAGGTTGATCAGACCTCCACACCCAATAAAAACTCAGTAAAAGTTTCACCGATCGTTTGATCCGATCCGACTGGAAGGCACATCCGTAAGGCTTTAGGAGGTGATGCAAAGCTTCTACACGTCTAAACTAAACAGCAGGGTGATTTATTGCTTCAGCAAACACAACCAGCCCAAAGAACTGGAACACTCCCGCCAGACCGCCAGAGCCGGAGGGCCGTTGGAGTCGGGAGTCTGAGGGAGGCCAGTCCAAACTCATGAGGAAATGAGAAGAACCTGGAGCTACAGCAGAAAAACCCAGACGCTCTGAACTGAAACGGAACAAAAAGGATCCGAGTGGGCCACCTTCCAACCAGCTCCCAGACATTCCTCCATCACATCTCCACCAAAACCAGTCTCTTCACAACCAGCAGTGTTTCCGTCAGAGCGCTACAGTCTTTGGAGTGTCGTGGTGCACCATTATGTTTGGACTCTTAACTGGGACTTGTGTGGGACTCTGCTTCCAGAGCCAGAGGTGGATGTGAGGCCTAAAACACGGATCTCCTTCCCGGTCAGGGGACTTTAGGAGTAGAAGGTAAGAACGCTCTGGTGGTTGCCTCGCACTAGGAGGATGGGTGGGAGGTCTTTGGACAGAACCTCCAGCCAGGCCATATAGAGAGCGCTGGACACCGCGCCCTTGCGGGCCAAAGGCAGGCTTCTGCAACCAGAATACACAGAATCAATTACTAGGCCTGAGGAACCAGAAAACAGTGATACAGTGAAATATCGCCATGTTTCATGTTATGACACTGAATAAATATTTAAAAGCAGTGTATTGATTTTTTTTTTTTGAGAATTTACATGCAAACGTTTATCTTTTGTTTGGTGCAATTCAAACTCCGACCACTAGGTGGAAACCGTTTTTAGTGCCTTCACTCTGACAAAACAACGAGATTTTGAAATAACACTAGATGTGTCTTGGACGTGTCTGTCCGAAGTTTTCTTATTTAATTCAGTCTTAAAAATTGCACAATGCTTTACTGTAACTTGTCATTCCTGTTCACCTAATATTTCAGTTTTGTGATAATTTCTATTAATATATTTATTTTTTTATCCACCACAGTCTTCCTATTGAAAGCAGA